CTTTGACCTCGAGACCCCAAAATCTAATCAGTTCATCGCGGCTTTGCAAGATACATACATGACCAGAGTTTGGCAGGAATCCCATCAATTGGTTCTTCAGATAACGCGATCACGAGAACGGGACGTACGGACGGACGGACGGACACCCGAAAACATAATGCCTCCGGCTACTTCGTAACGGAGGCATAAAAACACTTTTCTGTATATTGGTGTCTTTGAAATACAAGTAAAGTTTCATTTAATTTGTTTTTCATCTTAACAAGATTCTGGAACAACGCACATTAGAAATATTAATAAGCTGTCTTGGAAAGTATTGACAGTGACAGGTATCAAATCTCCAACAACCTATTTCTCTTTTTATTTTTTTGACTTTTTCTTAGGTCGCACATGTTGAGAAGTTTAGACTTTTGTGTCTTTGGTTGTTCCGCTTTAGAAGGTTTCTTTTGTGTTACTTTGGGATTTTTCGCTGTCTTTGGCGCCTTCTTCTTGGGTGCCTGTAAAGCATTTTTGCCTTCTTTTTCCTGGATGCTTTAGGTGCTGCAGGCTTCTTGGAGGAGTGTGGAAGATTTCCAGGAGATTTGGCTTTTGATATATGCTGAGTAGTAGCACTTTTCTTTGGCTTGAAGGTGGTCCCCTTCGATGTAGATGGTCTTGATTCCGTCACCTTTTGTCATTTCATAGCTGGGCTTGATTCACGTTGGTTGTGATATGAAAATGTTGCACAACCGTTGTTGATGGGGTGCTTAAGGAGAAAAAAGATGAAGGGAAAAAAAACAGAATGCATCAAGGTTATGAGCAGTATAGGCATTACTTTCAGTAATTAGGTAGGAAAAAATCTGTTTTGAATCTTGTAGTAAGATATAGCTTTTATACTCTTAATGCCACTATAGAAAACCTTGGCTTTCACACAACCACTCTGTTTGATATAAAGATAACCTGAATGGAAGCATTCTTGGTGAAAGCTGACATGATGCCTCCGCCATAGAGCGATTTCACAAACCAAAACAGAAGCAATTTTTCAAATTCAAGTTTAAAAGCTATTTATCATCTTACATGTATGACCCTTTGAACTTTGACCTCATGACCCTAAAATCTAATCAGTTCATTGGCTCTGAAAGATACATATATGTCCTGAGTTTGATAGTAATCCACCTGTCAGTATTGACAATGCATTCACAAGATAGTTTTGCATAAATAATGAGCCCTATGACTTTTGACCTTTTACCTCAGGACCCAAAATCTAATCAGTTCATTAGCTCTGCAAGATACATACATGACCAAAGTTTGGCGGTAATACTTCAATTGGTTCTTGAGATAACGTGATCACAAGCTATTTTTGAATACATACATGTATAAGGAGCCCTTTGACCTTTGACCACGTGACCCACAAATCTAATCAATTCATTAGTGTAGTGATAGCTACATGTAGTCTAACAGAGTCTGCAAATACAGACTAGCATGTATAACTAAATATAGAATGACCTGCAACCCATGACTCATGCCAGGTCATGTTATGAAACAATGAGTACTTGTACAGGAGATGCTACAAAGATGTCTGACTGACATAGAGCCTCAATAAAGCTATACAACTTATTAGTTCAATCAAAGCTCTCCAACTGGTCTTTTATAAGAACATAATATGATGTCAGAACTTAGCAGCCAGTGTTTGTGCTGAGCAACCCAGCCTACAGTATATATGTATGGAGGAATCATTGAAATCCGGCCAGTTCAATCCAATTCTTTGTGATGTGAGAGATGATGAGAGCTAGAGGGCTTAGAGTCTAAGTGTATGTCCAGTGAATGTAGTTATGTCCATAATAGTTAGCGCTGTCGTTGTATGGATTGGAGTGCATAGTTTTGTGCCGGGCCAGTTCCAGTATAACGGGCAGTAAGCGTGACATATATGGGACATGAACATACAGAATAACTCAGTGAAAGTTAATAGTTGAGCTTAAAGTAATTGTTGCAAAGATACAAAAAGAAAAAGCTAATTGTTATGCTGTTCATGTGAGTGACTACACTAGGCTAAGAAACAAAAAGAAACAAAATGGCAAATCTCAGTCAACCTCGTTCACTCGACTTAAAGGGAAATATTTCCGAGAACTGGAGAAGATTTAAACAGAAATTCACTCTATACAATGTTGCCTCAGGAATGTCTGAAAAAGATGAAAAGTTACAAACATCAATGCTTCTACACGTGATTGGCGATGCTGCCTTGGAATTGTATAATACGTTTGTATTTGCTGAGGGTGAGAGCATGAAGCTTGAGAAAGTGTTGAACAAATATGAGGAATATTGCATGCCGAAACGTAATCTAACGTATGAGAGACATAGATTTTTCACAAGATCTCAGTTAGTGCATGAGAGTGTTGATCAGTACGCAACAGAATTGCGGAGTCGTGCTCAGTCATGTGAGTTTTCCATGTTGAAAGAGAGTCTTATCCAGGACAGAATTATCTGTGGTATTTTAGACGATGGTCTAAGAGAACGTTTGTTGAGGCAAGATGATCTTACATTGGTTAAAACGTTGCAAGTATGTCGTGCGGCTGAACAAACTCGAACGCAGGCACAAGCGTTGAGTTCTGCAGGGGAAAACGCCTCAATTCCGGTAGATTCTTTCAGAAAGACTAAGAAGAAATTTCCTGGTTCAAAGCAAAACGGTCAGAACCTCAAGGTCGTACTAAAAGTGATGCATGTAGCAGGTGCGGAAACCGACATAGCAAAGACAAATGTCCCGCACAAGGTCAAACATGCAAGAAGTGCGGTAAGCAGAATCATTTTGCTAAATGTTGTAAAACCCCAGTAGCCAAGGTCAATGAACTGCAGCACTTGGAGGTAGATTCAGAAGGTTTCATGATTTGCTCTGTTGAATCAAAAGAATCCAAGGATGAATGGATAGTTAATCTACTAGTCAATAACCAGCCGGTTGACTTCAAGGTTGATACTGGTGCTCAGGCGAATCTTCTTCCTGAGACAGTATTTCACAAATTGAAACCAAAACTAAAGCTACAAAAAGCCAAAGTGATGTTGACAGGTTATTATGAGACAGATATCCCGGTCAAAGGTCGTTGTTGTGTACAAGTTGAGTACAAAGGGATCAAACGCAATGTGCCGTGTCTAGTCATTCCTGGAAATCGTCAGCCTTTGTTAGGATTACGGACGAGTGAAGACTTGTATCTGGTGAAACGGGTGTATCATGTTGAGAAACAAACTGAACACGGAACGGGTAAAAGTGTAGTTCAAGACTATCAAGATGTGTTTGTAGGTCTAGGTTGTCTTCCTGGTAAACACCACATCACATTGAGAGAGGACGCACATCCTGTTCAACATGCATGTCGCAAAGTTCCATTTCCACTTCAAGATAAACTCAAAGACGAGTTAGATAAGATGGAACGAATGGACGTAATCACACGAGTTGATGAGCCAACTGATTGGGTTTCTTCTCTCGTGGTGGTGATGAAAAAGAACAGTCAGCTCAGGGTCTGTCTAGATCCAAGAGACCTGAACCGAGCAATCAAAAGAGAACACTATCAATTGCCATCAAGAGCTGAAATAACTGCACATTTTGCAGGAGCCAAATACTTCAGCAAGTTAGATGCATCTAGTGGTTTTTGGCAGATCCAACTAGATGACGAAAGCTCCAAACTTTGTACGTTTATCACGCCATACGGAAGGTACAAGTTCTTGAGACTACCTTTTGGTATTTGTAGTGCTCCGGAAGTCTATCACAAGATAGTGCACCAACTGTTTGCACACATTCCGGGAGTTAACACAATGATGGATGATGTGATCGTATGGGGAACTACCCAACAGGAGCATGATGACAGGTTGAGAGAGGTTCTCAGCATTGTGAGAAAAATGAATCTCAAGTTGAACAAAGACAAATGCGAGTTCAATGTCAAGAAGCTCACATTCATAGGTGACTTGATCAGTGATCAAGGAGTCCAACCTGATCCAAAGAAAGTGTCTGCTATCTTGAACATTGAGAGACCGAAATGTCGGAAAGATGTCCAACGGTTCTTGGGTATGATCAATTACCAAGGGAAGTTCATTCCAGATCTGTCGACCAAGTCAGCAGCGCTGAGACATCTACTAGACAAAAAGAATGTATGGACATGGGATCATGCACAAGAGGATGCATGGAATCAGCTGAAACAAGCTCTGATACAAGAGCCAGTCCTACATTTCTATGACAGCAAGAAATCAACCAAGCTGTCAGCAGACGCGTCAAAGGATGGTATTGGTGCAGTGCTACTACAGCAATATGATCAAGATTGGGTTCCGATCGCATATGCATCTAGATCAATGACTGATGCAGAGACTAGATATGCACAGATCGAGAAAGAATTGCTGGCAATCACATACGCATGTGAAAGATTCCATCAATACATCTATGGACAACAAGTAGAAGTGGAGACTGATCACAAGCCACTTATTCCACTGTTTGTAAAGTCACTGGGTGACTGTCCCCTACGCATTCAAAGGTTACTCATCAGGGTACAGAGATATGATCTCAAGGTCTTGTACACGCCTGGAAAGTACATGATACTGCTGATACGTTGTCCAGAGCAGTAGATCCAAAGGCTGAGTTGAATGCTGAAACTGAGGAAGATATCAGAGTCTACGTAGATGCTATTGTCAAGAGCATGCCAGTTACATCGAACAAACGAAATTAGATTGTCGAAGAGACAAAGAAAGATGATCAACTGCAAGAGCTGCTAGGCATCATCAGAGATGGTTGGCCGGAAACGAAGCAGCAATGTCCAGTTCGAGTCAGGGAATACTGGAACATCAGGAGTGAACTCTCTGAAGCAGATGGCATCATCTTCAAAGGCAGCAAAATAGTGGTTCCCACTACTATGAGAAGGTTCATGCTAAACAAAATCCATGAAGGACACTTAGGCATTGAGAAGTGTAAGAAACGTGCTAGAGAAGTCATCTATTGGCCCAGAATCAACACAGACATCACTGAAATGGTCCAAAGTTGTACTTCATGCCTAATGTACAGACCAAAACAGCAAGCTGAAAGTCTACATCCTCATGACGTGCCGAACCGCCCGTGGGAAAAAGTTGCTGTTGATTTGTCCACGCTGAACAATAGAGAGTACATGGTCATCGTCGACTACTATTCACAGTTCATTGAAGTATGTACTATGACTTCAACTAGTAGCAAGGCCGTGATCAACCACATGAAAGCAGTATTTGCTCGCCATGGAACGCCATGTGAACTGATGTCGGATAATGGTCCTCAATTTGCAAGCCAAGAGTTCCAGAGCTTTGCAAAAGAATGGGATTTTCGCCATACTACATCGAGTCCATATTATCCGCAATCCAATGGCCTCGCAGAGAATGCTGTGAAGATTGTAAAAAAACTCATATTGAAGTCACAGCACAGTGGACAGGATATCCACAGAGCTCTACAAGTCTATCGCAGTTCACCACTAGCATGCGGAAAGTCTCTGGCAGAACTCCTCTACAATCGTCGACTTCGACAGTTTACTCGACAACCAACAGGTCAATACTCGATTGGTGAGGGGAAGAAAGGAGGATCATAAGGTGAAGCAAAAAGAGCGATTCGATAAACATGCTCGAGACTTGTCAAAGCTAAAGCCTGGAGATCATGTCATACTCCAAGACATGAAAACCAACACCTGGTCGAAACGTGGTATTGTCAGGTCTGTCCAGGATCGAAACAGATCATACCAGATCGAGACAGAAACAGGAGAGATGCGTCGCAGAAACAGACGTCACCTCAGGCCAGTCCCACGTCAACAACAAGCCGAGTCTATTCCACTACCAACACAGGATGACTTCGAGCTAGATGACACTGCAGAAGCTACAGAGCAATCAGCATCTGAAGAAAGCTTAACTACGTCATCAACCAGAACCAGAAGCGGACGAGTTATTAAACCGCCAGATCGCTTGAACTTGTAAATAAATGAAAGCGAACTACAGAGAAAGACTTTCGCGTTTTGTAAATAGTTTATAGTTACAGAGTTCAACTTGGACTTTAAAACATAACTGCAGGATTGCATGAGCATGATATATATATTTGCATGTTATAGTTTAAAAATATAACCGGATTTAATCAGTCACTTTGATTACAAAAATCAACAGATATCACTCAACCTCAACGGAGAATTCCAGTTTCGCGAATCGCAACCTTGAAAGATATGGACTGTCGCGTAATAAGTTATATATTTGAAAGCGACAGTACTCCAGCTTTAAGGGACAGAATAATGCCCTAGTACAGTCGCGAGTGTACAGGTAGTCCACCCTGTCACTCTGTACAGTTTAAGAAGTTTTATATATGTATATGTAAACCTCTTTTAAAGAAGGGAGGTGTAGTGATAGCTACATGTAGTCTAACAGAGTCTGCAAATACAGACTAGCATGTATAACTAAATATAGAATGACCTGCAACCCATGACTCATGCCAGGTCATGTTATGAAACAATGAGTACTTGTACAGGAGATGCTACAAAGATGTCTGACTGACATAGAGCCTCAATAAAGCTATACAACTTATTAGTTCAATCAAAGCTCTCCAACTGGTCTTTTATAAGAACATAATAATTAGCTCTGCAAGTTACATACATGACTCAAGTTTGGTGGTAATCCATCAGTTGGTTCTTGAGATAACGTGATCACGAGAATGGGACGTATGTACGGACGGAAAACAACCAGAAAACATAATGCCTCCGGCTACTTTGTAGCGGAGGCATACAAATTAAGTACTTGTAATGAGTTCTATACCTGTTGTGAACGTGTGTCTGTTGACCAATCACATTGTTCCCTGACACATTACTGGCCCCCGAAGCATTAATGGTGTTGCCGCCAGTCTGAGTCTGTGTATGCAGTTGCTCTGTTGTTGACAAAAGTGTTAAAACATCAGAAACATTCATATATATTACCGGTATCTTATCATATAAAAATTGAAATACATGTACATGATTACTTTATCTGATTAGTAACTTGAAAATTAGAAATCCCCATTATTTTTACGACAAATTTAGTACCCAAATCCCAATTAAAATTGGCTCCTTGGAAGTTAAGTCAAAACGTGCAATTCCGGCACAGAGGCAACTTGAGTTCTGGTAAAAAAAGAAAATAAATTCTCACAGAATCAAACAAAACTTACACTGAATGTTCAAGATTACAAATACATGTAGAAAGGTAGAAAATGTATACTGGCTGAGTATTGAGCTTAGAAAGATAAGGAAATCAAGGTAAGTAACCCCGACACCATTTGAGTAGTCCCATATACATCTGTACACAGTGCTTGTTACTTAACCAAGAATGGGTAAAATTTATTATGATTTTGATGACTCCAGAACCTTGCAGTACACACCAATACTTGCATGCTACATGATCAATTTTTCTGATCTATTCCACAGTTTTCTTTCACAATGCATTCGCATGACCAGAACTCAACTTTATCTTTAACTCTGTGTTAAATAGGTTATACTAAATTAGGCATTATAAACTTGACGCACATTATAATAAAAATAAATCATTTTGAAAATACTTGAGATACTTCCTTTTATTATTACAGAATGTTAAAGTTTACAGAGGGTTTGAAAATAATGATCAGTACAAAAACACCCGTACAGTTAGATTTACACTTTTAACGTTTCTGGAGGGTACAACAATTACCGATTTACCATCATGACAATCAATATATATTGTACGAATATATACGCAAAATCATATTAATCATCAGGAATCGTAAAATCATTTTTGTAATTTTCATGGTATCGTTGACGCAGACTGATGAGCCTTACTAATTTGTTTCCCTTCCAATCTTTTAATATCAGAGGGAAGATATATCAATGCATATTTGTTTTCTTTTTTTAAAATACTTTTTGTTTACCAGAGAGTGTTGCACTTCTGCTAGCTTGCCCCGTGTTCATAGCCGCTTCGCCTGTGGTATAGACAAACGAAATGTGTGATTGAGTGTAGTCCAAAGATGTAATCATGATAATTCTCAATGCAATATCCCAGAATGTGAATTACAATGATATGTATATTGTAGACCTAAATTATATCAGAACCTTGGGCTTCTTCTCCTCTCTCCTATTTTTTCCCTGATAGGTTCATCTCCGATGTACCCTTGTAAATTCATAGTTTGTGTGCTACACACTTTTTTTTCATGTATAAGAACTGCTCTGTTACTCTTGTTTTTAATAAAATAGAGAATTATATAACATTATCTTAGCAGGCAGCAAACCAATATGTTTTGTACAATCTAAAAAATAAAATGCTAAATCACCACTTGAAAGGACAGAGCAGTGTCAGATTAACACTTATAACATGCTAAATTGATTCGCTGCTCAACACTTGGAGTGATTCAACACAAGTATGGTGTCTCTGCAATAACAACACAACACCATTCTGTCTGCAGAGGATCATACATTCATTGACATTGAGTATCTAATCCCACTCCTGACACCAATCCCCTCTTGGTTGACACAAGACGTGATATTCTATACTAACTTACATAAAATGGTAAGATACTTGGGAGCCAATTGAATAGACACTCTAGATTCAAACTAAGAAAATCAAATCCTTCTCCTTACAACATTACATGATTCAAAACAAAAATGATGAGATAGAGTGGATGAAGTGATTAGATACTTACTTGATCTTCTACACATCATTGGACTCTCGTTCCAGGACTCCACTCCTTCCTCACTCATACCTGCATCAACATACATGAAGAAATGAATTCAAAGTGAAAGAGGTCTGGAAGCATGATGGCTCAGTGGTAGAGCAGTTTTCTCATAATCGGGAGGTCCCGGATTCGAAAGATGTGTTAGCTACGCCCTTTGGTAAGGCATTAATCTTTGTTACCAATTAGTCCCTTGGAGAGGACTTAACGCCGTCGGTCCCCTGGTTGCTTACTTACAAGCACACACATGCTTTCTCAGCAGTCAGATAAAACAAACCAACCTACCAACTAAGGTCGAGTGAACAAATCAGAGCGTTGTGTACTACAAGGTACCGGATTCAAATCCCTGCCACGGCAATACTATCCACTGGCAAGATATAAATCTACATTTTGGGGGTTCGTGACTTTGGAGTTTCTTTACACTGATCTAAAAATGTTTGGAAAAATCAAGACAACGATTCTTTATCCATAAAAAGGTACAATTAGTGTGTACCTAACCCCACTCCTAACAACAAATAAAAGAACAATAACCCCCCTCTTGATTGACTCAAGACATAATATTCTATATTAACTCACATAGAATGGCAAGAAATTTATGAGCTTATTGAATAGACCATCACTCCAAATTTAAACTACTGGGAAACAAATTTTATAAACCTACCAAACTTTGACTTCACTGCAGCCGTAGGGATACTATGTAGTCCACACTGGAGTGATTTTCGCTTCAAGCAGTTTTGGAACGACTTCTTCTTACTGCACTTTGGGCACAGAAAGCAGAAATCATATTTGATTCTTTCAGCCCAGTGCTGCCTAAGGCTTTCAAGGGTTCTCTTTACAAAGTCCATTACCTGCCATAAACACACAAACAACATCAAGATAGATATTTTAATTGGACTTGGGGGGGGGGGGGGGGTACTTTAAGCATAATTAATTTTGATTCAAATTTACATCTCAAATTGAAAATGTTATTGGGATAGTGCATTAATCACAGGTCACACTGGCTTATCGTCTCTTAATTACCTTGTTGACTATTGGATTCTCACATTCCCGAATCATGTGTTATTTACACTTCTTAATTTTTTTGGAGGTCCCAACCGATTTGACTTATGCAGATCGGTTAGCTGTACTTTCTATTAGATACATATGTTCCATGACAAATCCCAAAACTGTTTACTAGTGACAGTTTGAATTCTATGGTTCAGAGACCTTTCTCAGTTGTGTACAGGCAGACTAAAGCAAGCTACCAGTTTTCCAATCGAACAAAAAAAAAATGATTTTGTGAACGAGCATAGTAATGGAGAGTACTGGTATGCGCCTCTGTCTCTGTTCATTTCTATTGTGTAATAATTGAAACAATCGTGTTGAGCTACCTACCTTTTTGACAGCACTTGGGGCTGGAGGTTTACGACTATCCCCATCATGATCAGAATCAGCAACTGCTCCTCGGAATACAGTGACCTGACATGTTCAGTATCAAAGGTAAAGGGGACAAGATTAAGAAATTAATAATATGATGGTGTGTATTTGTGTACAGTTTCCCTCAATTTTGTGAGTGTTATAGACATATCGACTGCTTTGAGAGGCCTGGTTGTTTCATAGGCTCAAGGGAACAGGCGCAAATCTTGCCATGACCCCGAGGCGCGACGAGGGGTCAGGGCAAGATGTGCAAGTTCCCGAGAGTCTATAAAACAGCCAGACCTCGATTTTTAAAGCAGTCGATATGTCTTTAATATGCCGAATTAAAACAAAAATCTACCAAGAATTCTTACCTTATCCTTTAGTTTAGTAAAGATTGGTTTAAACATCACAGAAAATCTGAGAAACTGTCTGTTTATCTTCGCTGGAAAAATGACTGAAAGTGAATCGCAGACAAAAAGCACTGTATGGTGTCCGCGCTCGCACAAAGAAAATTTTACACGTAAACTAATGGGGATCTGATTTATGCGGCCTGTTACCCGGGGCGACAGGCATCTTTAAAAAGACTATTGACTGATAGGCGAGTACGAGGTCATTTTTCAAAAGACTATTGACTGGTACGCGGGTATGAGGGGAATGGCTAAAATCACGACTGCAATTTCGACCAATCAGATGGCTAGATTTCTAAAGAGAGGTATATAAATCAATATATTTATACATTTATTTATTCTGTATTCGTTTTACAGATTATGCTTCTCAGCACACATAAACTGATTTGCAAGAGAGCACTTAATACATTATACAATTAAAATATAATGTAAAACAAAACAAGAACAAAAGTTACATTGAAAATAGAAACAATTAGTGGGCTTGTGATCACATCTTAAATACACTTATCAGCTAAGAATGTTTGTGTATTTAAAACCAATTTAAAAAACCCACCAAAGGTGAGATATTATGAGGTCCCATTTTTCAGATTAGAGCACTAAGAACCTTGCAATACTGAATTATTGGTAAAGTTTTCAGGGTTACACAATGTAATTCTTTCAAAGAAATAAGAGACCTGAAGAGCTCTTGGTTCTCTAATTATCGACAGTACGGTCTAATCGTCTTCAGGAGAATGACTATTACATTGCGTGGTGTCGGCTATTCATTGCCTATCAAGGGATCCAATGCGCGGCCTCAAAAACTTTACCTACAGCTCAGTATCTCCACCATGACAAAAAAGGTATCGCTGACACTTGACACAGACCTTGATAGTTGCTTCACAAGGGGTTGACATCTGTAGTAAGGCATGATGCTCTTCATCAACCATTAGACTGATGTGACGATAGAAAAGATTGACTGGTTCTCCATCTCTTTCACCCATCCATCTGACTGCTCTCGCCATCAACCGATGAAACAGCCCATCTTTGGAAATGGCAAACAAGAGATACGACCAACAGATTATGGCTAGTTACATTTTGAAAGCCAGCTCAAAAAGATATATTAGCTGCAATAATACTTCAAGACAATTATATATTTCTGAGAAACAAAAAAGAGTTTCTAACAAGATGGATTAAACTCTGACTATCAACATAATCATAACTATGTATAGTTGTTTGTACACCTGACCGCCCTGACACGTCTTTTGGCAAGACATTAATCTACATTTGCCACTCTACACCCAGATGTTAAATGGGTACTGGTAGGGAGGAATTCCTTGATTTGCTGGGAGCACATTACAACCAGGAGCCCAGAAGACCTTGGGTAAGTATTAGAGCACCTTGAGCACCTTGCGTGGTCGATATGTGCACTCTGAAGTTATCCAATATTGTTATTATCATTATTAAAGGCAAATAAAAAGAATATTGGAGACCAATCTGATACAAAAACTAGATGGAACTTCGATTGTGCGCAGTTGAAAATGATGCCTCCGTCATAGAGCAATTTTACAAACCAAAACAGAAGCAATTTTTCAAATTCAAGTTTGAATGTGATCCATTGACAGGTTCTCAGAATATTGTGATTACAAGCTATTTCTGATATACATGTATGACCCTTTGATCTTTGACCTTGTGACCCCAACATCTACTCAGTTCATTGGCTCTGCAAGATGGTAATCCATCCATCGGTTCTAATGATGTGATCACAAGCTACTTTTGCATACGGTACATAATGAGCCCCATGACCTTTGAACTTGACCTCATGACCCCAAATCTATTCAGTTCATTGCTTCAGCAAGATGCAAACAAGTCCTGAGTTTCATGGTAATTTGTCTATCTGTTCTAATGATAATGTGATCACAAGCTATTTTTGCATACATAATGAGCCATGACCTTTGACCTCGTGACCCCAAAATCTAATCAATTAATTGGCCCTGCAAGATACATTCATGACCTAGGTAGGGCAGGAATCCATCAATCAGTTCTTAAAGTAGCTGAGCGAAGGTTTCAAAAGGCTTTTAACCTTAATAATGTTGGTATCATTGCAAAGTTAATGTTACAATCTTTCTAATGGTTCATATTTTTTTTTTTTTTTAAATTGTTACAGAATTGACTTATCTGCTATTAAAAGTGGTGAAATTACTACCCAATTATTCCACCCTTGATCTGCCCGTTATTGTGACGTATGAATTGTGACGTATGAGGTTGGGCACATGATGGGCACATGGGGTGACTGGGCGAGCCATTTTCTAATTTTTCGGGATGTGTAGGGCTTTCCAAGTTTTTGGTACATTTCACGGATAACAAAACAAAGACGATTAGACGTGAGATTATATTTGGCGAAAATCAATTACAAATATGCACCATTCATAAATAGACCCGCAACTGCAGGACATCATAAATATGCAAAGGGACGCTCGCGATTCCCATCATGGTCTCCGTATATAATCAACAGCAATCACTATCACGCCAAGGCATGATGACCGAACAAATACAAAACATCTCAGCAAATTACACAGAACGGAAGGGTATTTGGACATATCGAATTGCACAATTCACCCTTCGTATTATATTACATACATTTGCTTAATATTATATGTAATTACATGATTTCTAGAGATTGTTATTCCATTTTCTGGTCAGGATATGAAGCATGCAAAGTCTGGATAATGTATACGTATAGGCTTATGCAAAATACCGAACGCGAGCTGTGCGAGAGGCGAGCTTGAGGCCTAGAATTGCGATCGTGCCCAACCAGTGACGTCATTATCGGCCTATACTGCTTCTTACCTTGTTTCATTTACATTTACAAGATTTTAGAGCAGAATGTGTGTGTTCAAATTGGTCTACGCTATCCGGACATGTATAATTTGCCCATTTTGAGTGATTATGTGAAATTTCTTCGCCAAGCTACTTTAAAAAATATAGCGATCACAAGCTTTTTCAGCCTACATAATGAGCCCTGTGACCTTTGACCCTTTATCCCAAAAATCTAATCAATTCATTGGCTCTGCAAGATACAAACATGACCGAAGTAGGGCAGGAATCCATCAATCAATTCTTGAGTTTACGCCATCACGAGCTATTTTTGCATACATAATGAGCCATGTGACCTTTGACCTTTGACCTCGTGTCCTCAAAATCTAAGTAATTCATTGGCTCTGCAAGTTACATACATGACCAAAGTTTGGCAGGAATCCATCAGTCGGTTCTTGAGATAACGCCATCACGAGCTAATTTTGCATACATAATGAGCCATGTGACCTTTGACCTTTGACCTCGTGACCTCAAAATCTAATCAATTCATTGGCTCTGCAAGTTACATACATGACCAAAGTTTGGCAGGAATCAATCAGTCGGTTCTTGAGATAACGCCATCACGAGAACGGGACGTACGGACGGACGGACGGACGGACAACCCAAAAACATAATGCCTCCGGATACTTCGTAACGGAGGCATAAAAAAGTATCATAAATAGTCTGTAGCTTACCATCTGATTTCTACTCAAGGTTGAAGCCAATCCTAAAATTTTCAAATCAATACATGAGTTGGACATAGTAAACTTCTTGCATGGGCCATCCATGGCAAGTACCTATAAAGGTCAGTCAAACTTGTCTATTGAGGCCACTCAATGAAAATAGAACAAGTGGCCACTGTAGACAGGTGGTCTTTCAGGACACACATTTCTTTCTCAAGGGACACAAAATGCATGGCCTTTCTAGACAGGTGGCATTTACAGAGAGCTGGCCACTTAAACAGGTTTAACTTTATACAAACCTTGTTGCAATCTAATTGCCATGAAGTCTCTTTGGAGCAAGAAGGGCATTAACTCTACGATACATTACATGTGTTAACACCTTTCTGGCTGTAAACATATGATGAATTCATCCTCACCTGGTAAAAAGCCTCCGAAGTCCACATAACAGTCTAAAGAACCTTTGATCTCTCCAATCTCTTCTTGAGAGCAATGTGACGTAATCCTGGAGGGAACATAGTAGCGCTTCTTTACCACTTTCTCCGTTTCATTTGATACCTAAAATAACAAAACATATCCGAAAACTTAAACCATAAATACAAAACAGAATATACCAAGATATAAACAGAAATGATTTCAAGAAATCGAAGCAAAAACAAAGCAATTCATATTTCACTCACTTTTTAAATTTCACACATCCCACTCCTGCCGCAACATTGTTGCAAGTATCACATCAACAATTTCAGAAATAGACATTTTGTACCATTTGTAAAGCTTGCAAAACTCTACTTAATCCCTACATTTGACTTAACAAAACAATTTTTTAAAGTAACGTGTTTGCAAAGATTAAAAAAATTACGGTATCCAAAATTATGCATTTTCAACCTTGAGTCAATATTTGCAACATATGCATAATAATAATAATAATAATAATAAGCTTTTACATAGTGCTAAATACAATGTCTCTATAAGCGCTTTACAAATATATTGCATGTATACAATACTTGGTATATGTCCCTTGTTTTGCTTCTTTATTGTCTGTATAGCTCTAGTCACAATGTTTTGAGGTTAACATGAAACACTGAAGCTAACATGAAACAAGATGTTTAGCACCTGCAAAAATCTCTTTGTGGTAATTGCCTACCCTAACCAAATTCCTACTGAACTTCAGCACTGGACCAAACAATATACCCTTACCCTAAACCGAAAACCAATTGCAACCATAACCCTAACCCTATACTTTACATAAAATAAAACATGGGGCATTGCTGCCGGAGCACGGGTCGGAGCACCGTTTGGCTGGAGATTTACCTCAGTGTCTACGCCATCCTGTTGCTCTTGCTGGAGTTGTTGTACGGGAGCCTCACAGACGAGATCAAACTTGGCCATGAGCTCGATTAAGAACTCCTTCTGCTCCGAAAATTGTCGCCACATATGCTGAATCAACTTATCCTCTAAGATACCATCCTCCTCAAGAGTAGTCCAGGCATCACTCATATTCCCATCCTAGAATTAAAAACACAAAGAAGTGGGCTCTCATGGGTCAATCACCGGGGTCAGCCTTCAGTTTTATGACTGACAAGCTTTATGAAATGTTCTGTCTTTTCTCCATATGTAAAGTCCTTATCTGACATTAGCATCACCCAAAGACTCTCCGAGAGATCCAGGATGGTAATGACCTGCTCGAAGACATCAATCAGTCACATCTCCTATGATGTCTCGTAGGAGAGACTGCATACCCATAGGACGTTTGTTGTATGCAACAACTTTTTTGAGAATTTTCCACTTTCCTTTCATTTAGTATATAAAAAAACCTGTTGCAGCTTACAGCAGCATAATTTAATGGAGGAGGTTTCTCACCCTCTCATCGGGATCGAGAATGGTAATGACCTTCTTGAAGACATCAATAAGCCACTGAGGATTCAGGATCACTGTGTCTCGTAGGAGAGACTGCAGGTCTTCATTGCCTCCGTAGTAGACTACATAACCCAGGTCGTGGTAGAAGGTCAGCATCGTGAGAAGTTCACGCTCAGGTTCAATCCCGAATGGCTCCGTCAGTTCCTTGGTCTGGGAGAATACAAATAAAATGGCCCTCAAATCATCATATGATTGGTGAAAAACATTACAAAATAGTATGTATCAAATGAATACATTATCATAACAGTAACATTACATTTCATTAACACAGAGCATAAATAGAATATAGATATAGTAATGGAGCAATACATTTACAGTAGGAAACACGTAGCCTTAATTTTGTGCCAATATTTTTAAAGGCACTACATCCTATTAAAGACAGGTATAATCTGAGCAATTTACAAAATTGAAAGGGTATCATTGATGCACTTTAATAATATAGCATTACATATTCCAAACAATACCAGGAGAGTTGTACATAGCTATGAAGAAATGAATTAAGGACTAAACTTGATTTTGCTTGGAAATCATATACATAAAAATTGATTTGTTAAAAAATTCAGTACATAAAAAGAGCAAATTTGAAGGAGGAAAATGGTTTCAAAGAAATAAAACCCAATTTGAATGTTAAAACTTGAACTACTGTACATGTACCGGTATATACAATTGCTCACTAATTTTCTTCCTCTACAATACCTAAACACAAATTATTTGAAAATGGCAAGAATAAACATAACATTGCAGTCCTACCTGAGCTAATGACATGTGATTGATTTCTTCTGCAGCTATAGCTTTCTCAAATAAGAGCCATCTGTGTGGAATCTCTTCTCCCATGTAAGGCTCTTCCATCGCTACTTTCTCAATATGTCCCCTCAAGGCGACCAGCTACAAAGGAAAGTAAGTATTGGTTGGTTTATTATTTTTAAAACTCAACAACGTGGCATGCATATCAAGGCTGATATTGTCTGGTTTACGAAGTGATCAGATATTTACATCATTATAAAAATACAAAAACAATATCACAACATAATGATAGAAACATCACACAGCAATATATTTTTTTTTAGAAAAATGTATCAAAGATGTGGATAAATAGTTATCAAAACAATTGAGGCAATGTCATTAAATATTCAACAATAAATTCAATTGAGCATGTTTAGGAATAGCTTTATTGCACAAAAATATCACTTTTTTAGAGTAAGAGAGGGATTAATTGTACAGATGTAGCACATAAATGTGGAGAAGAATCGTAAATAGGTAATAAAGTGACATTTCTCTTCCACATGGCTTTAAGCCTTGTGGAAGGGAAAGGACTTCATTAGGACCAGCTGAATGATGGTAGGGTAGGAGCCCCCGGCATAAATATTCATATATGTGTGATTAGGGGTGGGGCGTTGTGCCGCACAGTGGGCCAGGGAGGGACCAAAGTGCGCCAAAACTCATGTTTGGGGATTTCTTTTTTATAAATCCAGAGGAAATGTTTAGATTTCCAGGGATTTTCGCTTAAATTGTATTACCAACATTTTCTCTGATGTCTAAGCTTTAAGTTGATACCAGATTTGGCTGCCCGATTCTGCCCGTTATTATGTTAGAGCTGTTTCCTTGCAACATTGCCCCGAAAAATGTGTTTATTTTGGTCTGCGGTGTCAGAACAAGTGTCACGCGCCCCCACGCGCCGTGATTTATGACCACGAATCCTTCATGATTCATCCGCGGACCCCAAAAACCCACATTTTTGGGGCAATGTGGCAAGGGAAATCGGCTCTAACATAACAATGGGCAAGTTTGGGCAGCCAAATTTGGTATCAACTTGAAGCTTAGACATCAGAGGAAAGGGTGGTATTAAAATTTAAGCGGTACACCGCGGAGATCTAAACATTTCTTCTGGATTTATAAAAAACATGGATAATTAGTCCATTTTTCAGTGAATTACCCTATAATATATCATGAAGATTGTGTTTCTATTAATTTTAACCCATTCATTCAACGAAATGAACTATCAGGAATATGTGAGAGCAATTTCATATCAATAACTTAAAAACTTCATGTTGATTTGAAAGATTTATAAAATAGGTCACTTTTGCACTAAAACTGTGAATATGTAGGATTTTGCTGATTGAAGTAGTAAATTTATACCCTTATTGTGCATACCGGAATTAAATATTTCACTGAGGTATTCCTCTATGTATTACCTTTCAACTGGGCAAGAAAAAAATAGAAAAAAATAAATCACCCAAAAATAGTTTTGGCGCACTTTGGTCCCTCCCTGGCCCACTGTGTGCCGGTGGCCCATGCTATATAGAATGTAAGAGCACATTGGTTTGTGGTTATACGACCGCCTGTTTTTGGTACAGGGCTCTCTTAGGACCTACTGAACGATGATTAAAGGTAGGAGCCCCGACACCTACATTCCAGACAGTCTTGTACCCAAAATGGCGTTTGTACAACAAAAACTCAAATTTATATTACCTTATAAATTATTTGTTGGCTACGAGGCGACGCCCCAGCCCTACACCCTTATATGATATTCTTGCAGGGGGCTCCTACCCTATTATCGTTCAGTAGGTCCGAAGGAAGCCCTGTACCAAAAATGGCATTTGTACAAAAATAAATTAATGTTATATTACCTTCTAAATTATTTGGGGGTACGAGGCGACGCCCCCGCCCCACACCCTTATATGATATTCTTGCCGGGGGCTCCTATCCTAATATCGTTAAGTAGGTCCTAAGGAAGCCCTGTACCAAAAAAGTGCTTTAATCCGGCAAGTAACGGTAATTTCACTAAGCCACCTGACTATAAAGACAGAAAGTAATGGAGAACCCAAGTCTAAAAATCCATCACATTTCATCCTAATGGCCCCAAACTAAGAAACAAAGTGTAGATTGCATTTTGCTACAGAACAATGGATTGCATCAGCTTAACTTTTTTAAGTGATGTATTATTGTTGAAGTGGTTCAAACATGAGGAGCAATTTTCGCAACACTTTGTAACTGCAAGGAAAAGCCACTTTACTTTTTGGATTGGATGTAACTGGATTGGATAGATAATCATTAATACTCTTTTTTATTTCTACAGGGTTATTATAAATTGTGATAGTTGATGATTATTTGTGATGTACCTTTTCATCTTTGTCCTCTAAGCTGTTTTCAATGGCATAATACTTGGGGACCACATGGCATTCAAACGGCTTCTTCTTGAAAGATTTACGAATCTTCTCAAAGGCAGACTTAATCTAGAAGACAACAAATGTGAAATGAACAGCAAATACACATCTTTACAGTATGTTAAACATGCATGCATACTTCACTTTAGATGAGAACATGATAATCTATGCAAACAAAAATAATGCTGATATGAAATAGCACAATGCAATTAAAGTCCACAATGAATTCCCATTGGTTTTAATACAAAGGCAAAATGAGAGAAACAGATCAGTAAAAAATTGAGGAAAATATGTACAAAAGTAAGAAAGTCATTACATTTTGAAGTTGTAATCAATGAAATCAGTTCAATGTATCGTGTGCATATTCATTATTAATTTGCATGTTTTCACAGAAAATATAATTATCATGATCTGTCAAGCTAATGTTAATGCAAATCAATCTTGTGATTTATATTTTCTTAGTCAATCATTGACAAATATATTATATATGTCTGATCATGTTTTACATCTAATTTAAGACCTAAAAATAGATATATTGATATATGTAATTAATAACCAGGAAACAACATGTATAATTTTGTAATAGGTATGTACGAACTCCAAACTTCTTATTTAATATAATACTCATCTGTAATCCACTTCAAATGATCTTTGTGATGGGGCAATTGCAAGAGTTTATATACATGGTTTAGTTGGTGACCAAATGCCAATATTGATTATTGATTATCAGTTGATTACTGGTCTCTACTGGATAATAAACTGGTATTCAACTGGGTTTCAACTGTATTTAGCTGGTTTTCAACTGGTAACTTAACTGGTATTCTTTTCAACTGTTTTTTAACTGGTAAGTCATCTGGAAATATCAACTGGTCTCAGATGTCAACTGGTTATCCAACTGGTTTTTCAACTGGTCCCAGCTAACATTGTTTCAATTTCCATATTAAAAACCAGTTGAATATATTGGTTTCAACTGGTACCAGTTGACCAGTTGCCTACTGGTTTCAACTGGTTTTACGACCTGGGAATCCGACGAAGGAGCTGAGCAAGGAGGACCGGTAGGCCAGCCGTCTGCAGTGACACCGATTGCCTCTCCGCATCGAGCAGCACCTGCACCGCCTCCAGTGAGCAGGATACATCCGCCCGCCCCTTTAGCTGTCAATCGATGGGTAATAGATGGATGGAAAACGTGGAGGCAGGTGTTACAGAACTATAGCGTCGTAGCCCAATTTGGCAAGCAAACATCGGAATACTAAAATGGCGATTTTTCTGCAAACTATCGGGCTGGCAGGACTTGAAATCTACAACAGGTTCATCTTTGCCAGTAATGAGCAGAGTAATCACCTAGCAACAATAATCGCTGCCTTTGAAGATTATACCATTGGAGAGAAGAACAAGACATATGAAACATACCTCTTCAACAAAAGGCGTTAGGAGTAAGATGAGAACTTTGAAACTTTTCTTGCCAGTCTGAGATCTTTAGCACAGTCATGCAACTTCTGCCAATGCATGGCTCATACCCTGCTTAGTGACAAGATAGTTCTAGGGATAAACGACTCACAAACTAGAGGGCGTCTCCTACAAATGAGGAAACTCACTCTTAACAGCTGCATTGACATATGCCGAGACAGCCGAGTCCCATCTCCAAGCGTACAGTATTAAACAGTAGAAGTGGTACATCAGCTGCCACAGTCCACATGATCAAGAGGACCATGCATGCATCAATCATAATCAAAGCAGAACTAGTGCACATCCTCGGCCCCAGAATAGTCAAAGTAGGTCCACCAAAGGAGCTAAAACCTGCAAAGTACTGCAAAAAGGAGCATGTCAGAGATAATGCAACTCATATGGTGGCAGTAGTTAATTCATTGCAGCCAGGAGATGAGGTGTACGCACAGAACAATTCACCAGTAAAATCCTGGTGGATAGTGGAGCAAGTGTAAACATCCTGACCAAGAAACACCTGCGGACATTGGAGAGAAGAACAAGACATATGAAACATACCTCTTCAACAAAAGGCGTTAGGAGTAAGATGAGACGGCTGGCCTACCGGTCCTCCTTGCTCAGCTCCTTCGTCGGATTCCCAGGTCGTAAAACCAGTTGAAACCAGTAGGCAACTGGTCAACTGGTACCAGTTGAAACCAATATATTCAACTGGTTTTTAATATGGAAATTGAAACAATGTTAGCTGGGACCAGTTGAAAAACCAGTTGGATAACCAGTTGACATCTGAGACCAGTTGATATTTCCAGATGACTTACCAGTTAAAAAACAGTTGAAAAGAATACCAGTTAAGTTACCAGTTGAAAACCAGCTAAATACAGTTGAAACCCAATAGCGAGATGCCCAGTAGATCTAATAGTGCTTAATATTATAGGAAATACACTCAATGTAAATAGATGCGCTCATTGTAATACAAAAAGTAAACCATGCGATAAAAGTTTAACTAATTGAGAATTCAAATATAAAAATATAACAAGGTGAAAGCATGCAAGCAAAACAATTACACATTAAAAAAAAAGAAAAACGAAAAGGTGAATGCATGCAAAAAATGTAACATCTAGTACATTCAGCTTAATTGAGAATTAAAACAAAAGAAAAGGTGAATGCATGCAAGACAATCCAACATCGAGTACCTTAAGCTTAATTGAGAATACAAAATTTACAAAAAAGGGTGAAAGCATGCAAGACAATTTAAGTTCTGCTTAATTGACAATAACAAAAATATTAAAAAAAGAAAAGAAAAGGTAAATGCATGCAAGACAATTCAACAACGAGTACGTTAAGCTTAATTGAGAATCAATAAAGGAAAAAGAATGAAAGAGTGAATGCTTGCAAGACAATTCAATATCGAGTACTTTAAGCTTAATTGAAAATTTAAAAAAAAAAGAAAAGCTGAAAGCATGCAAGAGAATTCAACAACGAGTATGTTCGGCTTAATTGAGAATATAAATTTATATAACAAAAAAAGAAAGCATGAAAGCATGCAAGACGATTTCACATAGAGTAGTCTTAATAACTGAGAATTTACAAATGTAAAGGTGAAGTCATGCAAGAAAATTTAGCATTGAATAGGCTCATTTGAGAATTTACATATGAAATGATGAAGGCATGCAACAAAACTCACATTGAATACGTCTTACCTCATACCAGATTACTACTGAAGTGGGTACCCCTTGTAAGGAAGAAAATAGCTGAATGTTATAGAAAGGACATTGAGGAATGTGTTACCCAAGAAAGCCCTGAGAATGAAACAGATCATTGCTTGCTGTATAATTTATTTATTTATTTATTTATTTCTAATATTTTGACAGGGTAGCCCATTCACCAACAAGTAGTGGTCTTCCATGGGGCCCTGAATGAACATATTTACATCGTTTATAACATTTATACAGAACAGTTACAAAAATAATACTCGTTTGCAAAATAAATATAATCGTTAACCTAGTAAACAGTAATGTCAATAGGAAAATATTAATTAAGTCGCAATTATGTGAATAAGTCAGTAATAACCTGTCAATAACTACTTGATTACAAAGAAAAAGAATTCAGCTTCGGAGGAAACACAACTATTTAAAACAAGGCAAGACCTGACGAATTATAAATTGTGCTTGACAGGTGTTTTAGGTAAATTCAAACTGCTAAAAGGGTTAACACTTAGATAAGGAATTTTGATCAATTCTTTGTAGGTACATGAATGAATGACATTAGGGACTTTTAGATTATGTGGACGAGAACACGACGAACGCCGACTGATCATGCGTGTCAACGTACTTAACTGCCCATTTTGACTACAATTAGAAATCTTTTAGATTGCACTCAACGATATAGATGCATGCAGGAAGTAACACTATGAACATCATAAGCGGGGGGGGGGGGGGGGGGGGGGGGGGGGGGGGGGGGGGGGGGGGGGGGGGGGGGGGGGGGGGGGGGGGGGGGGGGGGGGGGGGGGGGGGGGGGGGGGGGGGGGGGGGGGGGGGGGGGGGGGGAGGGGGGGGGATAGTAGTACTATCTACACAGTGAAACGAACTTTTGCTTCTCCCATCAATAATGGGCGAACTATCTTTCATCACGTGATTTACTTTTGGCCAATCGTAGAGCAAGATTCTTAGTATGTGAGATATAAAATAGAATACTTTTCAACAAAACTTAATCATGTAAGATACGTCAATAAGAAGCTTGTTTTTGAAAATAAATCGAAATGATCAGAAGTGTAGTAAATACAACGAGTTGATATTCTATGTTAATTGCTTACTCAACTAGAAGGCGTTCATGGGTCAGTCGTATGACACGGCCATTCAATACAAAAACAATGGATATACAGTGTAGATAATTTTTTGGCTAATAAAGTGGTACTATTCACTTGACTGCACTTGCAACGACCCAATGGTTTACAATAAGTCAATGAGCTGAAGTCACTGGATTCCACATTAAGCATTTAGTGTTTTCATTCTGAATAGCTTAAAAAGCAGAAAAGGTACAATTAAAGCAACATATATAACCATGTACAAAATGAATAGAGAGCAACCAATTAGTGCTCATGTCTATACACAGGCACTGAGTCAAGGAATCTTGAAAGTACTAATTGTATCGTTAATCCGTCAAGATTAGTCAATGAGCTGTAACCACTGAATTCCACTTTAAGTGATCAGTGTTGTCATTCTCGATAGCCCCAAAAGCAGAAAAGAGACATTTAAAGTAACATAAACATGAATAAAAGCAACCAATTAGTGCTCACATCTCTTCAAGGGGCTGCGTCACGGAATCTCCATGGCTTTAATTATACCAATTGTAACGTACGTTAATCCGCAGACTGAAGTTTGACTATATGAGACTTCTTTGTCAACGTAAGGCGATGACCTCCGTTGGTTAACACACGTATGCGTCCATCTTGGTTCCAGATGCTTTTGAATTTGCTTTTGTGATTTGACTTGATTTCCTTGAAAATTTTAGAGCTTGACCAGGTCAAACTCTCCTGAATGAAGATGGGATTGATACACACGGTTTTCTGGCATCATAGTTGGCGAACCGTATGATTATACCACGTGACCTGCCCTTTTCGCCTCGAGTCGATGCGTCCTGTCGATGTCGCCATTTTTGTCACAGACCCCTTTCACAATTTCATTTGTATTTTCATCTTCATTCTCTTTCAGACCATGAAAAACAAGGCAATTCCTCCTCGAATATTGTTCTGCTTCATCTTGTTGCTCTCTCATTAGCTCAATTTCCTTTTCCATTTTTGTAATCCTCTCATCTCTTGTCGTCAACTCAAACTCAAAAGTCTCTCTGAAGTTTTCACCGACTTTCTGAGTAATAACGGTGGTTAGTTCCTCAATGAGAAGAGTTTTTATTTTACTTAGTTACAAGCATATCAATGACTTCACTTGCCTCAAGAGCTTTCTGCACTTCTTCTCGTACATTTGTATTGTTTCTCGCGAGATCATCGGCACTGCGTTTGCTCCTCGTCATGATGGGCTTTTCACAAGGCATATATATATATCACAAGGTCGAACACTGATTAACAGTCAAATAATCTGAAGAAGATTCAATATCCTGGTAAGAATGCAAATATATCCACAAAGACCATGGAAGATAAAGTCAACAATGAGTAAATTGATTTTACTGCTGTATTTCTACACAAAATCTGATAACAATCAGAGCTAAAATCGTGCACGTTCGTTCATGGCGGCGTCTAGTTGTCTAGTTGTCTTGGTGTAAGTTGAGTATTAAGGTTATCTTTCATGTTATTGTCTGTTCGTTCTCACTCTTGGTTCAAAACATATCATGGAGGTGAAGGTGGGGCATTTACTTGACTTACAATGCAGGGATTAGAGGGTTCAAATCCCAGCCCTACACTATGTACTTCAGCAAGACGTTAATACACATCTGCTATTCGTCACCCTCGTGGAAATGAGAACCTGGCAACTTCAGGGGAAATAACAATCCTCGCTTTCGCCAATACCTCAAAATGCCTGGATGTTAGTTTCATGCCCATTTTAAAAATGCACTATGGGATATAGCTTGGTGACTTAGGACGTGTTCACACGCAAGGGGGGACCGTTGGCAGACCGTGGATCGCGCTATCGTAGCGCGACCCATGGTCCGCCCGTTGGCATTTGCCGGATCCACACCGCAGTGACATAGCGCGGTCTATCGTAGCACCCCCTTTTTGAGAGGTCCTGTTGCCATGACGCGTGACGTCATGAGGCCAGAGCGGTCAAAGATTTCGCGCGCTATTACGAACTAGGAGTGTTGAGTTGTACCGATTCAGATTCAGATCGCACCAAAATAGTATAAAATTCCCTGCGTGTAGAACGATGACTTCTGGCGTGCTATCGTAGCTCGGGTTCACACCGGCAGAGATAGCGCGGTCTAGCGCGAGCTAGACGGCGCTATCTCTCGTGGACCACCCCCAAGAGGTGCTCCAGTGGCACGTCGTTTTGGCTCGCCGTGGCTCGCTGTTGGGCGGACCGAAACGATGTTGTACCTTCCACACCGCATATCTCTGCCGGTGTGAACAGCCTCTAAGTCGCTTCCTGTCTATTTTGTGAGGCTGTAACGGCCTGGTCACATATAGGGACGCATGGGTAACGCATGACCAGCGCATTGGATATTTGCAATTTTGGCCAGTGCGTTGTCGTTCGCTAGGTGTGCGTCATCATTCGGTACTCATTCGTCGAGCGCGCTGGACCAACGCTGGACCAACGCTATGCATCCGTCGTCATTCGCTGTGTGCGTCGGGATTTTTTTCAGCATGCTCAAAAGTGTGGGCGGAGCTCGACGCATGAATGTACACGCCGAAAGCAGGGGCGTCGCCAAAGGGGGGGGGTGTGGGGGGGGGGTGCGACACCCCTCCACCTGTCAGGATATTGTCGGTAAAATTGCGCTGCCGTCGGGGAAAAAAGCGAAAAGGGGGAGGGAAAAAAGAAAAAAGAAAAGGAAAAGAAATGAAAGAAAGGAAAAGAAAGGAAAAAAAGAGAAAGAGAAAGAAAGAAAGAGAAAAAAGAAAAAGAGGGAGAAGAGGAAAGAGAGGAAAAGAAAGAAAAGGAAGAAAAGGAAAAAGAAAAGAAAAAAGAGAAAAGGGAAACAAAAGAAACGGGGGGGGGGGGGGGGGGGTGAAGAGAGGATAGAGGGCCGGGGGAGGTAATTAGAGCCTGAGAAAGGAGGAGCGGGAGTAAAAGAAAGAGGGGGGGTTGTGGGTGGAGTCGTCTCGTCAAGGAAGCAAGAAAGACATGGGTAAATATGTTGCTGTGTCAGTATTCTTGCTTGATCCTCGTGTACTATATCAATGCAGAAGTTTGAAGTCGGTGAGATGTATATTGTCGGTCGGCCGACAAGTTTTTTTTCCTTACGAACTGTGACTTTTTATCCGCTGTGACGACTTCAAGAGTGACTACAACTAAAATACTTGTATTTTCTTGAAGTTTCACTTTCCTATAATATCAGCTAAATAAATCAGAGGTTTAAAATTTTCGGGGAAACTAATTCAAACAAGGATTAAGAGTCAACAACGGTACGACGATCGTCTTCCTTTCTCTATATTTTGATGAAATGCCAACATTTTCGCGCTTCGCGCGGGTGGAGAAAATTTCATTTATACGAGTCGAGAACGGTACAACGAATCGTTTTCTTTCTCTAATAATTTGAGGAAACGTCTAAGCTTCCGCGATTTGCGCAGAGGGGGGGGGGGGGGGGGGGACTGAATTCAGATAAGGATTAAGAGTCGAGAACAGTACAACGAATCGTTTTCCTTCTCTACATTTTGGATGAAACGCAAGAATTTCCGCGCTTTGCGCGGGAGAGGAAAACTTCATTTAGACGAGTCGAGAACGGTTCAAACGAATCGTCTTCTTTCTCTCATAATTTAAGGAAACTTCAAAGCTTCGCGCAAGAGGGGGAAACTGAATTCAGATAAATAGAGCTTAATAAGAGTCGAAAACGGTGCAACGAATCGTCTTCTTTCTATAATAATTAAATCAAACGTCTAAGCTTTTCGCGTTTCGCGCGGGAGGGGGGGGGGGAAACTACATTCAGACAAGGATTAACAGTCGAGATTGGTACAATAAATCGTCTTCTTTTCCTAATAATTTAAGGAAACATCTAAGCTTCCACGCTTCGTGCGGGAGGTCTAACACCGACACCCCCCTAATGAGCGCACGAAGACAACGGGGATTGCTACGGTTGACGTCCTTTTAATGCACTGCCTTGAATGAACGTCACACGTATCAGTTCACGCAAATCTAAAGGTCCCTAATGTGCCGTCTGCTGTGACGGGCACGGAGTCACCGAGCTACATCTAGCCAGTGTCAGATCCAGGGGAGGGGGGGGGGGGGGGGGCGCCCAGGGGGCCCCCTTGGGAAAAAAGGTGTAAATACACCTTAATTTTTCCTTTTTTGGAGATGGGTCCCCCCTGGCAATCAAGGGAGGGAGGGGGGGGTGCGATTTATCAAAAAAAAAAAAAAATTAGTGCTCACTAACGACCCCCCCCCCCCCACCCCCCCCCCCCCCCCCCCCCCACTGAGCGAATTATCGGCCGACGCGATTTTCAAATTTTCGGGAGCAAAAAAAATATTTAAAATATAAAAATTTAGTGCTGACTACCCCCCCCCCTCCCCCCCCCCCCCCCCCCCCCCACTGAGTGAAATTGATTTCAAATTTGGGCCCCTCCCCTAAGAAGTCCTGGATCCGCGCCTGCATGTAGCTGACGCATTTCTATAGTAGGATTGGGGTAACTTTCGCTTTAGCTTTTTCCATAGTATATCGTAAGCAATTATATATTTTTTACAATCTGAGTTGTCAGTTGGAATATGGTGCAATACTATGAATCTGTTGTGTGCTGGTGGCACGAAAATAAAGGAAAAAACCTCCAGAGATATCCCTGAATGAGAGATGTGACTTGGGTAAAATTTCTAACAAATCCTACACTGCAACGCGACCTGGAAAGTTGCTCCGAAAACAAGACAAGTTTGAAATCACTGCACGATCGCGACTCTGTTCGCGGCATTTTGACAAAGAACAATTGAAAAAGGATAGAAATGCAGTGGGATCCCTAAGTATTTCTTAAATTCTCGAACAATCATGGACAAGGATGCATAAAATGTGTACCATGCAATTGGCCATGCCCATGCCACGTGCCTGCTGGAAGTAGGTAAGTCCAGGGAGTCCCAGAGAATTACTGGAATGTCAGGAAGAACAGCCGATGCTGATGGAGCTTCGTGGAGTAAACAAAATTGTTATTTTTTTTATCAACATACATGTATATCATGAACTATTACCTTTTCCTCTTTCTCTTTGCATCTCCTGTCACACTTTCTCGATGCGTTCCAACGATGAATATTGGTGGAGATATCTGGGCTGTTTTAGAAGAGTTCTTATTCCTGACTGAAGAGGGTGCCACAGCATGGGCGTAGATGGAACACAACCAGAAGTTGATGAACTCAAGACATGTCAGTTCTGATTTGGCACCTCCTTTAGCCTGTGTTTTAATTGTAAAGAATTATGTATGATAATGCCAATGATAAAAACACACAAAAACACCATCGTATGTATGTGAATGCCCTATTTGGAGAAAATAGTGAACGGTTATGGGATAAATCTACTTTTCGATTAAAACATGTACATTTTTATTATTATCTGTGTCATCTTATTTAACGATAATTTTTACGGAAAGACAACCATATCAATATATGACACAAGCATAATCAGACAAATGGTAATTGAATCTCGATAAGAAATGTTACTGTATCAAGTCTAAACATAATGATCTATATCATTTTAATTTTAGAGCCAATGGAATAATAGGAGCTCGCATATCAAATTACATATTTATGAAGTTGAGAATTTTGATTTTAGTCTACCGGTAATTGACCGGGAGACGCTCATGCTATAGATAATAATTTTGTCGAAGTAAATTTGAATTAGGAGGTCAAATATTTTTAAAAATGCCAATGTGTGGCAGTTTCCCCAGGAGTATACTGACTCATAAATTAGTTCAACATTTTATCTGAATTACTATTAAAGCTATTCCTAATGTAGTATATTCACTGTGTTCTCGTATTCTTGGCCGTGAATTTTGTATTTCTACTGTTGTCACCACATCGACCAAGCGATAGACAGCGTTGATAGTCTAGTTATTATTTGCTCAGAAACAGACTGGACACTATACTACTAGGACTGTTGGACTTCAGCCACGATCCTCGTATAGATATCTGTACCAAGTTCTTTACATTCATACTTTACCTTTCAATGATGAAACGTCAGATTTGAGCCAAAGTAGAGATTGCCACTAGTGGCTGTGACTATTGTCAAGACTACATCACCAAAACAATATGTGTGTAGATTAGAGTATAATGCATCTCTGTAGAAATTTGAAAGAAATCCGTCAAGAAATGTGGCAGTTAGAGCGCACAAAAGACAGCCACCAACATATGACCTTTGACCCTATAACAGACGGAACACAGGTGGCAGCATCACCAAACACTAAAGATGTGTAGATTTGATCAAGATACACCTCCATACAAAATTTGAAAGAAATCTGTCAAGATATGATGCAGTTTAATAGACCGCACACTAGAGTGCACACAAGACATCTATCAAAAATGACCTGTGACCCTATGAAAGATAGAATATTGGAGGCAGCATCATCAAAATCTATAGGCATGTAGATTATACCAAGATACGTCTCCGTTCAAAATTTGAACAAAATCTCTTGAGAAATGTGGCCTATAGAAAGCACTCAAACCATCAACAAATATATGGCCGTTTACCCTATAGAAGATGGAACGCTGGGGGCAGCACCACCAAAAGTTATAGGCGTGTAGATTATACCAAGATACACCTCCATACAAAATTTGAAAGAAATCTGTTAAGGAATGTGGCAGTTAGAGCGCACAAGAATATGACGCGGTGGCTTAACGCTGCTGAATCCAAAGTACCCCACTGGCATACTGCCGGGGGATACAATTAGAAATTGGCAAATAACTAATGTTTGGCAATGAAAACACAACACTATCTAACATTTATCTATCCTCTGGAAAGCATAATTTATTTTTACCAAGCAGGATAAAATGAAATAAAGAAATACCCTTTCATAATTCTCGTCTCTGGATTCAGAGGGAACGACAGAATCCAAACTTCTACTGAGATCAAAGACAATCACATAAATGGCTCGCCACGTTAGAAACACCTGCAGGAGAAGGGAATAAACATGATCTATAAGTATTTAATAACTACCATGCTATGTTGTTTCTATATGCTCTATTATTTCTATAATAATAAGAGACCTCAGGCACTGTTTATATACGATTAAGAACTAAATCATTCATACTGTACCCCTCGTAAATTTGATGTTTTTTGTGTGTATCGTAACCCATGAATGCAAGGTGGACTGGTTAAATTAAGGCCTTTGTTAAATGTAAGCTTCAATATTTTACATTCTCAATAAACATAAATCTGGACAAATCAGTTTTTCACATTCTTAAAAAGTTAGAAAACTTAATAAGGGTATGAGTAGTTTAGCTGTTAACTGTATTAATATAGAGAGTATAATTCAGCAGAAGGGGCAAAATGTCTCTATATTGCAATCTCTAATCGAACCCAAAACAAAGCATTGATTTTCAAAAATGTGTTATGTTTTTGGGGTAAAACTGACTGATGTAGATCCTCTGGCTCCATATTAAAGCTGTTATCAATTTTCGAGTATCTACGCTACAATACATAATGATAAACCAATCACTTGCATACTAGGGCTTAAATTAATCCAAGGCCACCAAGGCCATGGCCGTGGATGCCCTTTTGATTGGCCTCAATGCCCCTCTCATTGGCCGTGCAGATTTTGTGTGCCCTTTCCAATTCTTCCTATTTGTGCTGTAATATAGGAATGTGCCCTACAGAAAAGTGGCCTTGCCCTAAAAATATTAAAATTTAAGGCCTGCATACATATTATCAATTCCTAGATAACCCCATGATAACACCAGATCAAATAAATAGGAAACTTCATTTAAAAAAGAAAAAATATAACAAAGTTTAATAAGACATAGTTCCAGAGGTGTTGCTGTTTACAGCACTTTTCTGCACCTTTATTAGATAGCAAGAAGTCAGCGATTCAAAACTAATGTCAAGTATGTTCTCCTACAGTGGAATATAAAATTAAAAAAAGAAGCAATAATTTAGACCCTGGGCGTGACTATACATCTACGACTGGACCACACATTAATGCATACATGTATTAATGTCTAAAACTGATGGTAAATCCAAATTGTAGGCCTACAGCTGTGCATAAATCCCTGTGCCCTGAACTGAAGCATCATATTGAGACAGCAGGGGGAATAGTCTCAATTTTGAGTTTCTTTGAGAGTGAGAAATCTTCACTGAAACTGATAAGAAAAACAAAAACAAATCACACAAGAAATATCAAATATTTATGACATAAATGCCATGCGGGTTCTAGATCAATTACCCCCTGTGGGCAATCACCCCCTGGCCAATTATCAGCGGGACATTTACCCCCCAAGGACAATTACACCCGAAAAAATTTCTTGTTAAAACCAATTATTATCAGGGTGGACTTCTACTTTAATGAACAGGGGGTAATTTTTTTGGGGTGGGGGGTAATTCTCCTCGAGGGTGGTTGTCTTTGGTTGCTTTTTTTTTTTTGGGGGGGGGTAATTGTCCACAAGGCTAATTGTCCATGGGGGTAATTTTCTAGGGGGTAATTGTCCTTGGGGGAAGTTTTCCGGGAGGTTATTTTACCGGGGTGATGTTCCAGGGGGTATTTGTAATGATACTCCATGAGGAATGTATGGGAGACTGTACCGGTAGTCAATAAAATTTATTCAATTTTTTCAAATACCAGAATATAACAAACTCGCTTACATGGCACCAAGGTAGAATTCACAAGCATTCTAATATTCTTAAAATGAAAATAAGGTCTCTTTTACCTGATGGGTTGTGTAGTATATGTCGTGTCCAGCAAAGTCCCATATACTTAGTGAGACTCCTTCTCCTCTACCGCTATCAGAACTGTCTGTCAGTCCTATCTCCTGAGGAATGAAGAAAACGAATACACATCCACATGAACATTTATCATAACCAAATTTACAACTTCGCAAATAAATAATGGAAACATAATGATTATCATAAAACAACTTGCATATCACATACTGTAGCATTATTTTTAAGCAGAGTATGAGCAAGAACATCCGGTTAGAAAATAACCATTTTGTTTCCTAGATATATAACTTCACCACAGTGCAGGAAACAAGAATGTATAAAGTCCAACATGCCTCTGAAGGAGCTGCAAGTCTGAAGAAAATAAGCTTTTGGTTCCCTTATACCGGTAAGTGTTCCATTGATACATGTTTCTCACTCTCATGAGCCTCAGGTTCTAACATAGATATGCAAGGAAAAATCTGTATTCCGTTGGTATCACCAGTGGCGTAATGAGCAAAAACGTATGGGGAGGGGGGCCAGAAGAAAGAAAAAAAATCAGCACATATGAATTAGTTTTGCTCGATTTGGACAGTTAACGCGACGTAGAAAATACCAGCACTTGCACGCTGTGCGGAGTCAAACGCAGATTTTACTGATATGCGCTGGATACGCGTCGCACAGGAGGGTAGCTGAACAACGTACATTGGACGTGTCAATATAGCAAATGGGGGTGTATGATGTTAGGCTCATAAGCCTAGCTGTGTACAGTGGAAATTTTCTCTGACCGTCAGAAAAAATAAATTAATTTGTTAAAATTAGAGTGCATGATATCAGAGTTTTTATCACATGGGTCTCCTGAACATGTGGTACAGATAAAGAAAACGTTGTATGTATTCTGCCGTGGCACACACACACAGGCCCTATTATATACACCCCAATGCATCACAAACACAGCAGGTCTATACGAAGCTCAGGGGTTTTAGGCCTTTAGTTAAGGTCAGATGAGTCTAATTTCTATTCTCTTTAAAGGTACTATGTCCCATTTGCAGGCCAAAAAAATGAAAAGGTTAAATTCCAACGGCATTTGAAAGATAATAATAATTTAGAACTTCCCTAAAAAATAGGGGGCTTGAAAATGTCTTTAAGTGGGAAAATTATGACTATTAGTTGTTGAATCAACTTAAATGCTACCAATACAAAAGTAATAGTCTGATTTTCAGACCATTGTACTGAATAGTTGTACGCTTTGTGCTGCACAAAGATTTAATCAGTTTAATTTTGGCCATTACAAGAAGTGGGTTATTGATGTTAGGCAAATGCTTATGTACCCTTTACAGCTCATTTTATGTATGTTATTACCAAAGAAGTAAAAAGCCAGTCAGTCACTCAATAGTGTCTGACAGTGAAGTCTAGCAAGTGAACGGGTTTCCCTGAATAATTTGAATATTAGGACAGTGCTAACGTTTAAATTTCACAGATAGGACATACATACACATGATATATTCATAAGTCCTGCAAAGTTCTTCAGAATTTGATGTTGGCTGCAAAAGGGAAATAGTATCTTTAACATACTCAGGTCCTGACACAAAGGCTTCTAAATAAGTATATTTTTGCCTGACTGTAAATTTGAGAATTTGTCATTGTCCAACAAACGCAAAAAAAGTAAGGAAAAATCACAGAAAATCATGTCATTCTAGCAACATTTGTAATCACTAGTATCGAAATAGAAATAAACCACGTTTCAATTTTATTGGGGGGGGGGGGGAGGGCTGGCCCCATAAGAATGCCAGTGGGTATCACAGTGCTACCAACGGAATACAGATTTTCTACAATATTTACTTGTACATTTTGAAGGATATTATGTAAGGGAGCGTAGCGACCGAGCAAGAAGATTTTTGCAATTTTATTAGTCTAAACGCTGCACTCTTGGGCCTTCCAGACCCTCAAAGTGTGTTGCAGTCTTTAGTCAGTATTTGCTATACATATTCTTTTTGCACTTTTTTCAAATTTTTGTGGGAGGGGGGGGGGGGGGGGGGATCACCGCCCCTGCTTCCTGGGTCTAATTGATTATCTGCAGTTATACACTCTTGTGGAAACACACCATAATCTGATGCCATTAACTGAAACAGATTATCATACCCGTTGTCAGAGGTGGATATATATTTGTGTATGCGGGCTGTCACAGCTCTGTAGAAACGTTTCTGTTAAAGTTAATGTTAAAGCCCGTCTGCACTAGTTTGACCAGGAGGGATTAGACCTCCCAGCATGGTCACTGACAGGTGGTTATCTCATCAACTCAGCTCTCAATTAACATAAGAAAAAGAGGATCATGTGGGACCAATGGGCACCGCTTAGGCATTGTTTTCTATATTGAGTTGAGTTTGAGTTGAGTTTATTGGTTTCACATTTCACATATATTTCATAAATATAATAAATATAACAAAATATACATAAAAGACATATTGTTTCATAATTTTAAAAAAAATTATTATAGTAATTAACAAGGTAATCAGACTACAAAGTTACATGTCATCACAATTGTTTGACAACTAATATCATTTAAAGGAAACCCAGACAAAAGTACAAACTGTGAAATGTGCAGGAACCTATAGAAAAGCAGAGCTTGTAAAGAATAGATTCCTGGGAGACTTGAAAAAATGACAGGGACAGAAAATGTTTACTGTAGAGAGAAGTACACAACTAAAATTAAGACGGCAGTAATATGACAAATAATTGTTTGGAGTTCAATAAAGTACAATACTGAAAAAAAGGGGGAAAAAAGGGGGGCAAAAAGAAAAAAAAGAAAAAGAAATACACTAAAATGAAGAGAAGTAACAAGGCAATAAATAACGGAGTATGCACCTATTTCCACCACATGTTTGCACCACCTGAACGTTTACAAAAACTGAACACTAGAAGTCATAAATTATTCATTCCTCTTAAAATTCACTTATGTCACACAGGCAAAAGAGCGCCTAAAATTGCAAATGAATTGTAAAATGAATTGTAACATGGTACAAGTTATAAGAAAAATGAACATTATACATGAAATGTCTAATCATCATTATTATTGTATATGCATTCAACAAATGTAACTTGACTTTATATTTAAATTGATGAATAGAAGAAGGGTGAAGTAAATCAGGATGAAGATTTTTCCAGAAAGATGGACCAGTATACACTATTGTTTTTTGAGAAAATGGATGTGATGGATGTGAAAATCATTCCTCTTCCTGGAAGGGTATGAATGAATATCCAAGTTCTTAGTGAAAAGATAAGCAACAGAATCAGGCAATTCATTTGTTGTAAGTTGATACTAGAAAATACACAAATTATAGAGAAATATATCAGACACATGTAAAAGGTTATTGTTGAAAAATAAGATGTTTGAATGTGACCGGAAACCAACATTGTGGATTATTCTCAGCGCTATTTTTTGAATGACCAATAAACTATGCAGTTGAGTCTTTGAGCATTTGCCCCAAGCTAGAATACCGTAATTTAAATACCGGTAAGGGAAATTAAGGTGGAGTATAGATTCAACAGAACATCAAGAGGAAAGAAGTGTTTAAGTCTGTTGATGACGCCAGTACTTCGTGATAAAAGTTTACATAAATTTCCAACGTGCATTTTCCAATTAAGTTTACAGTCTATAACAAGACCAAGAAATTTTGTGTGCTCAACAAATAAAATGTTTGTGTCATTAATGGAAATGTTACCAGGTAGTTATGTTATGGAGTTACTGAAAAGCATATAGTTTGTTTTAGTCACATTAAGAGATAATTTATTGGCATTAATCCACTCCAAAACAGATAGTAGCTCATTGTTTACAACATCAGCAATAATATTGGGATTTGGATGAGTAAAGAAAATATTGGAATCATCGGCAAAAAGTATGAATGACAAAAATGGGGGAGGAAGTTTGGAAATCATTAATGTAGAGTAGAAACAAGAGCGGACCAAGGAGGGATCCTTGCGGGACACCACAAGTGATATGTCGTAAACATGAATCATGGTCATTTAAATTAACATATTTCATTCTGTCTGTGAGGTAATTCCTGAACCACTCCAATATAGATAGAGGGAGCAAGTAGCCACAAGTAGTGCAGTGGGGCTTTAAAGGTCATGTTACGCAACACTCACTTTCCAGACATTTACTGTACCTGGTAAATTCTGTTAACTGCTCGAAAATAGTGACAGTTTGTTGCGCTTTTGAAGAAACAGACTCATTACATTCTGCTAAGGGGTACCATTAATTTGTTTTTCTAGGTACGAATTGTTTTTCTAAATCTGGGTCTCCTGTGTTAACAAGCCGATAAATTATGCATGCAATGTTAAAGATCCTATAACACATGGAACAAAGAAGTGGCAGATTCTAGGATAAAACTGAGGAATTGTAGAAAATCTTGTACATGTACATGTACATATCCCACATAATGAATAAGATTAAAAATGAATAGTACCTTTAAGCGAATCTGTTCCTTAAGCATTTTCTCCACCAGGCTTGCTACTTTATTTGGCATATTGTCATCCTCTCCTTCAGCTTTGGATGCCTTCACACTATCCAAGACATATTCTTCTGCAATAAAGAAACATAATATTTGAAGGATATCTACAATACATTCATAATTAATCTACATTTGCCACTCTCCACCCAGGTGTAAAATAGGTACCAAGAAGGATGCGAACATTAATGTGGTTGGATTGGCATGTTTACGCTTGTAAAATGGCGTCTGGCCAAAATACTGCCCAGGGAATGGAGCATGTGCACTTTTTCAGGGTATCAGCTATAGGCCTACAAATGTGACTACTAACATTATCATTATTATTATAACATTTCATGTAACTGACATTTAATAAATAACAATTGATTGCAGTTTTAAACGTGCACTGAGTTATGACATGGAGTTACTAGTAACTCCATGGTTATGACAAATTTCTGTGATAAAAATGTTAAAAGAGTTTTAAGGAGTAGTTACTATTTTGTCATCAACTTCCATTTATACTTTATATCTTACGGATGACGAATTAAGGATTGATCTAGTGTTAAGAAAACAAACAAATAAAACAAACAACACAAACAAACTAAAACTTTTAAAAAAAATCAAAATAAGCAAATACACAAACCTGTTTCTTCCGGATTTAGATCAGTAGTATTGCTGAGTGGTTCTAAACTTTGTTGATTCTGTACACACAAAAAAAAATCAGTATCAAGATTGTCATCGTGCAGCTTGCACTAGCTGCATCACAATCAGCAACGAGAACTACTTTTCTTACGTGGTTGATGAGATGATCCCAATCTTTATTTGTTTACACTGTCTTTCTAGACTTGTCTAGAGCAATTTATTGCGTCACTGCATGACTAAGTATTTGACATACTACATGCAAACAAACAGCTAATATATCAGAGATGCTAACCTTCATCAACAAACAAAAGCATTCTTAAGCGCAAAAAACAGTATTTTTGAAAAAATTTCTCTCACCTTAACATATTGCCCAAGCAAGCAGCTTAAAAAAATGGCAGTACCACGTATACGTACCCGGATCGGAGCGCGACGTGCATACAGTACACGTGGGTTGTTCGTAATGTGCGCAGTTTGGGGCTCGTATCATCTTCCTGCGTGCATCGTGTGAAGACATAGGTGCATAATACACTTACGACACAAAGCCCATGATCGGAAATTAAGAAAAACGTCAATTAAAAAATATTTAAAAATGTAACAAAACATACAAACAAGGGAAACGCTCTTGCCTGCATTACGCAATTCAATATGATGAACAAGGGAAACGCTCTCGGCGGTCTCGCCTGCATAACGCAATTCAGTATGATAAACCAGAACGTCAATGACGTAGTGCTCATCCGCATCTCGCAACAACAAATATCGTAAATTTTATGTGGTACACTTTTGAACTGGACAAAAAATAAAAATTTGATGCCCTGGAAGGAACATAATTTCATTTCATTTGCATAAAGTACCATAAATAATCAATGGAGCAAAATCTCACAATTCTGTGTAGAAGTTTAGTGTTCCAAATTTAGCTCTACCAGATAAGGCAAACCAAATCAAAATCGGTCAAGAAATGAGGGAAAAGAAGCAATTTTTGTTATTTTTGGAATAAATTTGCATAAATTACCATAATAAATTAATGGACAACAATTTCAAAATTCTGTGTAGAAGTTTAGTGTACCAAAGCTAGCTCTACGATATAAAGCAGACCAAATCAAAATCGGTCGAGAAATGAAGGAGAAGAAGCCTTTTTTGTGATTTCGAATAAATTTGCATAAATTAGCATAGATAATGAATTTCACGATTCTGTGTAGAAATTTTAAATCCCCCTCCTAGCCCTATCATATGAAACAATTAGAATCAAAATCGGTTAAAAAATAACGAAGAAGAAGCATTTTGAAAATCTTGATGTTGATGCCACAACAAAGTCTAAGTTTGTTGACCTTAAATGACCTTTGGCCTTAACTTAGTGACCTGAAATTCTACTCACATGATTGGGGCGACTTGATAACCCTATAGTCCAAGTTTCATTGACTAAGAACTTATACTTTCAAAATTATATCAAAAATTCAAAAACTTAACCTTAGGTTAAGTTTTCAATGATGATGCTACAACATAGTCCAAGTCTGTTGACCTGAAATGACCTTTGACCTTGACTTTGTGATCTGAAATTCTACTCACATGATTGGGGATACTTGATTACCCTATAGTCAAAGTTTCATTGACTAAGAACTTATACTTTAAAAATGATATCAAAAATTCAAAAACTTAACCTTAGGTTAAGTTTTTGATGTTGACGCCGTCGCCGCCGTCGCCGCCGTCGCCGTCACAGGAAAAGCGGCGCCTATGTCTCGCTTTTTGCTACGCAGGCGAGACAAAAATTGAGGTTGGGACATTATTCATAGGCAGGGTGGCCCATTAGCAGCCCCCCCCCCCCAATGAAATCCTCTGAATATAATCAGCATTTTGAAGTGAATATTGACCAAGAGTCATCGGGAGAATTATTTACTATAATTTGTACCAAGATTAATAACTTTCATGGAATATGAAAAAATAACAAAAACTGATTCATTAATCCTCACATAGTGACCTAAAATGACCTTTGACTTTGACTTTGTGACTGGGAATTTGTGTCATAAGATTTGTGATACTTGATAACCCTTGTGTACAAGTTTCAATTCATGGAATTTGAACAAACACTTTTGAAATTATGCTAAAAAATCAAAATCTTGATGTTGATGCCACAAAAGAGTCTAAGTTTGATGACCTGAAATGACCTTTGACCTTAACTTAGTGACCTGAAATTCTACACACATGATTAGGGATACTTGATAACCCTTTAGTGTAAGTTTCATTGAATAAGACCTTATACTTTCAAAATTATATTAAAAATTCAAAAACTTAGCCTGAGGTTAAGTTTTCGATGATGATGACACAACATAGTCTAAGTCTGTTGACCTGAAATGACCTTTGACCTTGATTTTGTGACCTGAAATTCTACTCACATGAATTGGAATACTTGATAACCCTTCAGTCCAAGTTTCATTGAATGAGAACTTATACTTTCAAAATTATACTAAAAATTCAAAAACCTTAACCTTGACGCCGTCACCGCCGCCATCGCCGGAAAAGCGGTGCCTATGTCTCGCTTCTTGCTACGCAGGCGAGACAAAAACGTACTGCCATATTTTTAGCAAAACAACAGAACAAATACGGCAAAAATTGAACAGTTGGCATCTGTGATACATTTTCTCGAGTCTATGAATACTTGAATGGCTAATAGCAAGTTAAATGTAAACTTGTTATGCACTAATGAAATTAAAGTTCAAAACAGCATGATGATAAGAATCCATTTTCTAAATTTTTTTTACATACTTTGTGGCTGTTTGACTTGTGCATCAAAATTTAATATCATGAATCAAATGCATATACAAAGGAAACAGTGACCTTTTTATACTGTGGAGCATTGTAGTCTCAGTTCAAATATACTACTCAGGTATATTGCTATCAAATTCATTACCCAAATTTCCGGCATCATTTATTTGTTTGGATAGTCATCATAAACCATTATTTTTTTTTCTTCAGACAGAATTTCACTTCTCCATCATAATCATAACTCACTACGTTTACTTTTATAGAGAGATTTTTATTTTGATGAACAAAGTTTGACAGCCATTTCATTCTCTCTCACTGGTTTAACTCATATTAGAAACACAATAACTGTATGGAGATGATAATCACCTGTGGTGGGGTAACGATCAGCCTCTTTGCTATATCATTCGCAATAGCTTTACTATATTCATCCTCTGTGAAAGTAAATCATCATATGACATATTCTACTATGTTATCATATATTATATTGTAATGTAAGATCATATGACTCCAGAGGAACATAAATTTTATGATTTTAACGAAAAATTTCACATGCAACCCTGCCTTTATAGCAAGCTGAAAATTACCAGAACGCTAAAAATATGAAACAAAGAAGACGAAAGACTTGATGCATGGTTGATTGTCAACAAAACGGAGTTAAGTCTTTTGTCAAATCTGTTTGTTGCTACGGCAGGCAGGCAGCCAGTGAAAACGAACTCGTTTAATCAAATTATGGAAATGCAAGTATTACGTTGAACAAACAGAACTTTGTTATTCCTGGCTCATTTTTCCTGATTGAGGTGTCATATGAAAGAGCAGAAATTGAACTTTCTAAAAATGTTATTTTCTCTTTGAATTTCAGATACCGCCCGCCAAATTACTTTTTTGTTTCCTCTCTTCAAATTCCTTTTAATCGCTCATGCATGAAAAAAGCATCATTTGAGTGGCATCAAATGGAAGAGGAGGATCTAAGCTGTGTCATTTATTAATTGTGATTAAGTTATGATAAAACATTGATAATTCTTGGTTTCATTTTTTCTGGAATGCAGTGTATTACCACTACAAGAACTATAACTTCGTGATTGCTATGTCAGGGGAAGTTTCGGACAGTAATAATAATAATGATAATATTATTGATAATAATAATAATAATAATAAATATGACAATACTAATAATATTTATAATAATACAAAATTATAATAGTAGACATTTCTTAAGCACAGACACTAGAATTTATGTGGTTAAAAATTACAACATAAATTTAAAAGAAAAGATATGCTCTGAATTTCGATTTAAAAAGTGTCTTCCGTCCTCATTTGTCCCCAACAGTTTGAAAAATTCAAAATGTCAAAATTAAAGATATAGTATTGCAGAGAATTTCATATTTCTTTGCCGTGAAGGGCAAAACCTTTGTTGAAGTTCTACTTACCTTTCTTGTGAATTGACCACATTTTCCCGTCGGCCTTTGCAACCTCGATGTTAATTTCACAAGAGTTTGTTGTTTCTACACCCTCTGTTATTGCCTCGTTTTTATCAAATCTGTAGCATATTATAATAATTATATTAATGATGATGTTGATGATAATAATTAATAATAATAATGATAATAGTAATAATAATAAAAGTGATGATAATAATAACATTAATAATAATTACAATAATAATAATAATGAAACATTTCTACATGTTCATCTATATTTTTCTGATCTTTTGGAAGTACGTGCCATATTTTCCCGATACTGCTTATAATCATTTGCACATTTATATCTTTAAAGGAGTCACACCAAGAAGCAAAAGTGTATTGAATAGATGCAAAATTCATATCATTGCAAAGGGGAAGCCTTACTGATCAAATACAACAAATTTCCTCTTCAAAATATGTTTGGGGCCCGCAGAAATCAACTTTCAAAAATGTTAGTTTTGAGATCCAGATTTACTGCCTTTAGCAGTCCTTCGTATGACGTCACACCCTGGACACGGCTGTCTAGCTGCAAACTTATACACGCGACTCCGGTATGCGGCCGGTACCGAGCTGTTTGTCCAGGGTGTGACGTCACTATTCAGAGCATCGCTACGCTCGTGTGTTTGGCTTACGTTCGGGGCGCTTGGGGGGGTCTAACAAGGGTCTTGAAAAATTGCATTTTACGCCTTTCCATGATATCTATATGATTTCTCAGCAAATTATTCGTGTTTTTCAAGAGAAAATCTTTCCATCCATATGTAATTTGTTCTAATTATCAGTTGTTAGTAAATTTTCTTTGTGTAGCTCCTTTAACTAAGATAATGTATTTTGTCTTTATTCAGCAACAATTATCATCTATTAAACATCATCTTACCGCTGTTTATTTCTATGCACCTTGATCGTTATTTTCATTTTATGTATACATGTGTGCAATTCAGCTTATTGCGCTGAAACATGGCTAAAAAAGTTAAAACCATTTTTAAATTGAATTGAAATGAATTTTGGTGAAAGATATTTCAGTCGTTTTTTATTTTGTAACATTAAGGAAGGTTGTGGAACGGTACATCACAGTTACATTGCCTATTTGCTAAATTGAAATTTCTTCATATACATTTGTGTAGATTGCATATACACAAATTTTAAAATTCATAACTTTTTCACAGTTTATCAATTTTGTTCAAACTTTCACAAGTCTGTATGTCAGATATTTCTTCTATCCTTCAAAGCAACTTGCTATACAGATAAAGAAAAGATGTAAATAGTTTTGCAAAAATTTAATACCTTTTTTTATTATCAAAAACATTTTTTTATTTTCTACAAACCAGAAAAATAATTATGACATCTCAATAATATAAACTGATGTCCTCCAATAAACAAACATAAAATGTAACATAAATACGTGTGACAAAAGAGAAACAAGAGATAAATGCGATTAAAACAAGGAAAAGTAATCACAAAGGGAATTATTTTACTATCGATAAGACACAATAAACCAGATCAAATCATCTTGCTACCTGATCCTATTATGTTGGACAACGATTTCATGCATCCAAACAGAAAATGTTAAGTCAACAAGACATGGTAATAAAGTTGTCTTTATTTTTTTTCTCAAGTAAATGGAAGAAATACCTAATAAAAAGACAAATAAACAAGGAACAATAAGATAGAGAAAGAGAGAGAGAGAGGGAGAGGGAGAGGGAGAGAGAGAGAGGGAGAGGGAGAGAGAGTGAGAGAATGAATTAAAGAGATATTTTACTCACCCTTGTCCTGTAAGAGTTTTCTTTAGACTTGTCTTTCCGACACGTTCCTGTCCCACAAGCATCAGACGCGTTCGGAATACTTTCTTTGTGCCAGCTTGAGCTGCTTTGGCATACGCTCGCCGTGCTCTCCCCCCCCGAGCAAGGATCTCAGGCGGTGCCGAAAGACCACTGAAGGAAATATCATCCCGATTGCTCCCCGAGTCATGTTGGAGAGATGTCAGCTGGTCGTTGTTTCCCTTGTTATTATCAGTATCATCTTTAATAATGAAGATCAAGCAAACACAACATATACATTACGATAAAGACACAAATTTGGCCTGCTATAGAGAGCAAATCCATTCTAAACTATAAACAAACTAGATGGACCTTCGACTGCGTGCAGTCTAAAATGATGCCTCCGCCATAGAGCGATTTTTACAAGCTTTAATGTACATGCATGACCCTTTGATCTTTGACCTCATGACCCTAAAATCATATCAGTTTTATTGGCTCTGCAAGATACATACAAGTACATGTCCTGAGTTTTATAGTAATCCATCCGTCAGTTCTAATGAGAATGCATTTACAAGCTATTTTTGCATACCGTACATAAACTTTGTCTCTGAATTCATGACCTTTGACCCCAAAATCTAATCAGTTCATTGGCTCAGCAAGATACATACATATCCTGAGTCTGATGGAAATCTGTCTTTCGGTTCTATAATGATGTGATCACGAGCTATTTTCGCATACATAATGAGCCCTGTGACCTTTGACCTCGTGACCCAAAAATCTAATCTAATTTGGTATTTTGAATAGCGACCCTCATTCTGTATCATGAATAGCGACCCTCATTCCGTATCATGAATAGCGACCCTCATTCCGTGTTATGAATAGCCACCCTCATTTCGTATTATGAATAGCGACTCTATTCTCGTATTATGAATAGCGACTCTATTCTTGTATTATGAATAGCTACACTCATTCCGTATGATAAATAGCGACCCTCATTCCGTATCATGAATAGCGACCCTCATTCCGTATTATGAATAGCCACCCTCATTCCGTATTATGAATAGCGACCCTCATTTCGTATTTTGAATAGCGACCCTCATTCCGCATTATGAACAGCCACCCTCATTCCGTATTATGAATAGCGACCCTCATTTCGTATTATGAATAGCGACCCTCTTCTCGTATTATGAATAGCGACCCTCTTCTCGTATTATGAATAGCGACACTCATTTCGTATTATGAATAGCGAATCTATTCTCGTATTATGAATAGCGACACTCATTTTGTATTATGAATAGCGAATCTATTCTTGTATCATGAATAGCGACACTCATTTCGTATTATGAATAGAGACCCTCTTGTATTATGAATACTGACCCTCATTTCGTATTATGAATAAATAATAATAAAATAATAATTTTTTTTAAAGTCCACTTCAATTTTATTAAGTTAAACCGAAAATGGAAATTATTTTTGCCCAATTGTTCGTGAGCCTGGCAGCCACTGAGCAGTGCCAGATCGACGTTGCTCTATCCCTTATTGTTGAGCGCCAAACAAGGTAGCAGCAACTCCCGTCTTTTAATGTCTTTTGGTATTGGTATGACGCGGTCCTCATGAGTAGTGACCCCCAATATAAATTATGAATAGCGCCCCTTCTTCATCATGTTTATGAATATTTTGCATTATGAGTAATGGTCCTCAGTGTGAATTGTGAATAGTGACCCTCATCCCACACTATGAATATTGAATAGCGGTCCTTATGCCTTTATGAAAAGTGACCCCCTTTCCGTTTTATGAATAACGGTCCTTATGAATAGTGAGGTTACCCCCATCAGGGCTAGAGGTCCGTATCAGGAAAAAATAGAAAATAGTGATAGTAAAAATAATAACTACTGACCAACAGTGCCTGCATGGCCACTTCCGACTTGGCCACCGGCAAACGGGAAACATCTAGCTTCAATGGGAGGCTCGCCAATGGGCTGTTGAATACACGACTTCTGATATGGTGGGACATCTACATGTACATGTAGATCAGCCTGAACACTTCCTACTGGCCTTTCCCTCCGAGCTCCTTGACGTGACCGATTGGATGTCTGGCTGGCTGGATGAACATTCATCACCTGGGATTGACCCCCTGGTTGACCCATCGGAGGAGCTACTAGCTCTGTGCTTCTCAGGGAACCCGCTGTAGACATGTCAGATGCCAACCTCTCTGCAGTTCCTGTCTGAATAACAGTTTCTATATCCATGTTGGAGAATGTTTCAAGCAATCTTGCTGAATGTAACTCAGCTATAAAGGGGAATAAACAAAGAGAAAAGAATGACAAAATATAAGATTTCACTATCAACAAATTAAGTAGACATTGTCAAGTATACATGCCAATAACAGAATATAACATTATGAAAAGGAAGTTGAAAACTAATCTAGCATAATCATTCACATTTTATTTTCTCCCTTATTGATGGATTTATTTATACATTTACATGTTTATACATGTATATATATATATATACATATATTATATAGATTTGAATTGATTTCCATGCTGTTTTTTCTATTTCTCTATTTTTTCTATTTTATCATTCTTCTTCTTATTATTATTATCATTATTACTTTTTATTTGTTTATTTTTATTGGTGGGGGAGGGGGCCTGGGTTTTCCTTTTTCTGTCTTTTTCCTTGATTTTGTTGTATTCATTGATTCATTTATTGAATATATTTCATTATTGCGTTAAATATGTTTTTTTTATATACCTTTTTAAAATATGTTTGTTATACCTCTTTAAAATCAATAAAACATTTAAACAAAGTATATGTACATGTATGCATTTAAAATTGACAAAATTGACAGGTTGCTTACTGCTTACCAGCATCTACATGTCAATAGTAGACTTGTTGGATATTTGGCATTTATTATCAGCAGTTCAGCACACCTTCATTCCATAGATTAGATCAATATAGTGCAGCTATTAAAATATAAATATTCTCTACCATCCAGGGATCAGAAAAAAAATCCTTAAGTGCTACATACACTTAATGGACACACAACCAATTGGACTAAACCAATTCATAAGCTTTTGATAAATTCAAAGTGTAGACCTACATAAATAACATACATGTATAATATAGAGTGGTCTTTTCTTGTAAACCCATTCCATTCAAACTTTCACAATCTTTCTCTTCTGTCCACTGAATATAAAAAAATATAAAAAAATTCAGAGCAATTTGGACATTAGCAACCCTCCTGCATTTGGAGGGAGTTAATACGCCCCCACGCTCATTCTCCCGCCACCCCAAAAAGCTTGTAGCGGGAGACTCCGGCCACCACGCCTTCCTCCGAGCTCTCGCTCTCCCGCCAACAATGTAGAATCTCCCGGTTTATGAAAAAACCTCCCGCCAAACCGTACCGTATACCCCCCCCCCCCCCCCCCCCCCCACCCGTTCCAGCGGCTGGCTGAGTCGTTGGAAAATTTGTCCACTTATAGTAGCTCACCTGGGTATGCAAATCGGATTCCCCGAGGCCGAGGAGACAAGAGTGATATCTCGTATTCAGGAAGGAAGGCCAAACGTCTATCCAGCCATCGGATAGACCATTATCTAGACGTGTATAGTTTTTAAACCTATCAGAATATTCAGAACGCAGGAAACTGTACATCTACATGTATACGGACTGAAGTGTTATCTATCTACCATAATTGGCCTACAGCTAGACTGAATGGAAGAGCAAAGGTACTATGAGGATACTTAGACTTGGTTTATGTCTTATTATATTTCAATTTATATTTTGGAGTAAAAAAATATTTGTTAACCGATGAATTATTTCTTTTGTATATAAAATTACTTAATTAGTATGATAAAGAATATTTTTTAGACATTAAATCATTCAATGCTGTCCAAACCAGAGATTGGCACCGTATAAAACGGGGGAATTCCCCGATTTCCCCGCACGGTACTGTATACAAAATGAACGCAGTTTACGGTGCAGTGTATTGGAAGCTTAACGCAAATGATCCCGGCCCCCCACTCAGTGTTATTTAGGGTACGCATATGCTCGTACCCTCTTTTTGAAACCACCCCCTATCTGAGGACTGCCAACATTTCCGAACCCCCCTTTCGCGGGCTTTTTGCGGGCTTTTCCTGCCTTGGAGACCCCCCTAAATCAGGAAAAATGCTCAATGTACCCCCCTAAATTCGGAATAATTTCTCAGGATTCCAAAGAGATGAGAGAAAAAAAGAAAAACACCCCCTTTTTAAAGAAATCTCCGGGTGAAAAGTCAAATACACCCCTTTTTTTACAAATCTCGGGCCGGACTTTGTCGCACGAAAAGTACCCCTTTACCGGACATTTTGGCAACACGCATGCGGTCATTCCGACCTCTGAGTGGGGGGGGGGGGGGGGGGGGGGCCGGGAAATGATACACTCGCATTTTTTTCTCGCTGTAACAAGTTTGTGCTCATATGGATGAAGAGATCATTGTGTTAATACATCAAGTGTCTAAAGTATTCTACTCGAAACTGGTGTAGCCCACATATTGTAACTGTAATCGCTGATGGAGATGTTACTCCGGCCAGAGAGCCCATGCCTTGAGCCATAATAATGCATGGCCGTACAGAGGATTTTTTATGTTGGGGACCGGGGTAAAATGCAATGAATTATTCATAATTTATTGTATTTTCTTAATTTTTTTAATTTGTGGGAACTGCCCCCTACCCTAGCCCCCGCTGCGTACAGTCATGGTTCAGTGGCAACTGGCAAAGCAATGGTCTCGTAACGGTGAGGGCCCCAAGATCAAGACCGTGTCGATGTGCCATATTAGTGCCCTTTTGTGGGGCATTAATCCTCATTACTGTCATTTATGACTTTCACCTATTCACTTGTATTCATCTGTCTTTTCGGGCTCCTTAGTAAGACAATGTCTTGTAATGCCCTCCCATAGTTCATCAGTACACCACTGCAAAGAGTTCGTTCCTTGATAGGTCCACTAATGTGCTGGACTTAAGGGCGTAGGTCCCCTAGTCGATAAGCATAGTAGCATACACATGCATACACATGCTTTAGCAGTCACGCAAAACAAACACCGGCAAATTGTTATTCAATAAAATCTGAGAATGTATACTATTATCTAGATCTATTAGAAATAAATCATTGTAAAAAAAAATCCATAAATTGGGGTAAAAAAAAATATTCCAACTATAATTTATGAGCGACAGTGTATATATATATTGTCTTACTGTCATGTTGTAAATCTTTCTTCTTTTTCCTTTTTCCTTTTTATTTGAAAATAAAAAAGAGAAAAGAAGAAAAACATATTGTAAAAATTATTACTAGTAAAATAATTTATTCTTATCCCTGTATTATATTCAAGAAGAGACATGCAGAAATGACGCAGTACTGAGAAGGTTAATTTTTGTCATTCCTGGTTATTGTCATCTTTCCTCTCACGCTCAATTTATAGCCTTATCCATTACACAATAGTTTTGAAATTTGTTACCCAATGTTATAAAAAAAAAAAAAAAAAAAATCAATAAAATTTGAATTTGAATTGAATTATGAATTATTCCCACCCCCCCGACCCCACCCCCACTAACTTTTACATGATGACGACTGGAACATTCAGATGTCGGACATATATTTTATTTTTTCGGGGGGGGGGGGGGGGCTAAGGTGGTTTCCTTGTAAAATATAGCGTCTTGTCACCAAAGTAAATTTTCATAAGTTTGACTCTCAGTTGAGGGGGGGGGGGCAGATTTCACACAAGGGGGACAAATTACGATAGGAGTATGTGTGTGTTAGGTTTCGTTTTTTCATTTTGGTCACCATTGGAGTGGGGTAAATATATTAGCTAAACTATGGGGATGTCTCTATATAGTCATCAAAGCTAAACATAAAAAAACCTTTTAAAAAGGCATAATACACGGGACGGCATTAGGCATTATGCCCTACGATCATAAAATCGTATCTTATTCGGCTTAAAATCTTGAAAATATAACTTCCTTACTTTTAATGGAAAATATATCGTGCAATATTGTATATTTACGAAAAGCTTGAGTATGGTATATAACCTAAATCCATACAACCGCCTCTTTGTCGCTTCCTTCCTTTGCTGAGGGTTAGGGTCATGATAGATCTGGGGGGTGTTTCACAAAGATCCTAAGTAGAACTTAACTCTAAGTTGGACTTAAAAATTATGGAAAGCCATTAGCATCTTTGAAAATATTTGGTAAAAATATTTTTGAAAGGCATAAAATGTTTATTCAAATCATTCATATTTTCTATCATTAAGGAGATTTCATATTCTTGTTGTGGAATTTATAAAATGTCTAAAATACTTGAATTTCTGCTTTTGAGTTTATTTCATTTTAAGGCTCCAATGGCTGTCCATAATTTTTAAGTCAAACTTAGTGTTAAGTTCTACTTAGGATCTTTGTGAAACACCCCCTGCTCCTTAATGGCAACACTGCTACACCCCTACCGCCCCCAATGAAACACACGGAGGCAACGCCATCTATGAACTACTTGGACGTGAATTTTCGGTAATATGCAGGATTGGCAGAATGGCGCAGCGTGGTCGAAATGATGGGGGGGGGGGGGGGGCTGGGTCCCGGGATGATGGGTCGGTATATATTACAATATGTTTTCAATAAATGTTTTCTACAAATATTCAGAGCCATGTGGCTCCCCCCCCCCCGCGCCTAAGCCACAACCGTGGGGTGTCCCCTATCCATTGTTTCGCTTTCTTATCATTTTGTTTATTGATTAATTTGTTTCACTTTTTTATGAATAGTGACTCTCATCCCGTGTTATGAATAGCGACCCTCATCCCGTATTATGAATAGCGGCCCTCATTTCGTAATATGAATAGCGACCCTCATCCCGTATTATGAATAGCGACCCACTTCTTCTCTTATGAATAGCGACCCTCTGCTCGTGTAATGGATAGCGATCCTCATTTTATATTATGAATAGCGACCCTCTTCCCCTATTATGAATAGCGACCCTCATTTCGTATTATGGATAGCGACCTTCCACATCGATAATGAATAATGACCCTTATGAATAGCGACCCTCATTCTGCATTATGAATAGCGACCTTCATTTCTGAATAGCGACCTCTTCGTCGATTATGAATAATAACCTTTATGAATAGCGACCCTCTTCTCCTATTATGAATAGCGACCTTCATTTCTGAATAGCGACCCTCTTCGTCGATTATGAATAATGACCTTTATGAATAGCGACCAGGGGCGTAAATCCCGGGGGATGGGGGGGGGGGCTGCACCCCCCTGGCTTGAAGTAGGGGGATGGCCTGTACAAACACCCCCCTGATATTACAACCAAAAAAAGAGAGGAAAAAAAAGGAAGAAGAAGACGAAGAAAAAATGTGATTGTTTCAATTTCAGCATAATGCATGAGAAATGAGTTATTTTTGTTTGTATGTACAGTGCGTCCCAGAAAAAACGAAAGCGAGAAGTATCGATGTTCTATCATAACTTAATCACAACTAAAATTAATGAATGATACATAATTTGGAAAGCTTAGAGTCTCCTCTTTCATGTGATGCTACTCAGATGATGCATATTTCACGCATGAGTGATTAAAAGCAATTTGAAGGAAGGAAACCAAAAAGACATTTGGCGGGCGGTATCTGTATTTCGAAGAAAAATGCACATTTCTAGAAAAATTGAGATTCTGCCCTTTCATGACACCTCAATCAGGAAAAATGAGCGAGGAATGACAAAGTTCTGTTTGTTTAAAGTAGTGAGTGCATTTCCATAATTTTATTAAACGAATTCGTTTTCACTGGCTGCCTGCCGTATCAATGAACAATATTATCAAAAGACTTAACTCCGTTTCGTTGACAATCAGCCGTAGACGAGAGTCTTCATGCATGGCTGATTGTCAACGAAACGGAGTTAAGTCTTTTGTTAATTTCGTTCATTTATACGGCAGGCAGCCAGTGAAAACAAATTCGTTTGTTAAAATTATGAAAATGTAAGGTTATATAATTCATGATTTTCATTTAGCCATTAATGAGTGTCTACTTTGTTATTTGAAGATGTTGACTGTGCTTATAATCGATTTTTGTATAAATTCAATGAAGCAATAGATAAAGAGTGTTTAAAGAAATATCGTAGTAAAACAACAAATCTATTCCAAGGAAGCCCTGGGTATCTTCTTTAATATTGAAATACATAAACAAGAGAAATAGAAATAGACTGTATAATATATTTAATGTCAAACGTGATGTTCAATCACATACTAAATTTAAAAGATATCGTAACGTTTTAAACACTTAACTGAAAATAGCTGTTAAAACATATGTTGTGAATTACTACAAGTAAAGAAAAATAATCTTGCTAAAGTATAGAAAATTATAAACAATTTAATTGGTAAAGTCAGATTTTCCTTTATTTTTTACGAAAAATGGGATTAAAATAGAAGGGTTCAATGACTTCTTTTCTAGAATTGCCTTACTGGCTCGAGTAAAGCTGAATCAATCAGTAAATCCTCATTTTAAATCATACTTAAGGACTCCTTGTAATAAATCGGTATTTTTATATCCAACAAATGCAAATGAAATTATAAATATGGTATAAAAAAAGCTTAAAAGTACTAATAGTACAGTTTTTGATAATATTAGCTCAAACTTAATAAAAAAACTTAATAAAGTTATTCATGTAATAGCTGAACCATTAGTTCATATCGTTAACTTATCTTTTTGTTCTGGAAGTCCCATAATAAAATGAAAATTGGTTAGATAATTCCTGTGTACAAAAAAGGCGACAAACATTTATTTTCAAATCGTAGGCCCATTACTTTATTACCTTGTTTCTCGAAAATATTGGATTTTTTTTTTAATATAATAGAACAATTTCCCATTATCAAAAACGCTCAGTATAATTTTAGACCAGACCACTACTGTGATCATGCCCTTATTGATTTTTACACAATCTAATTCGCTAAATTCCTTCCAAAATAATTTCCATTCTTTTGGCATCTTTATTTAACTAAAGATTTCGATGTTATTGACCATAACATTCTTTTGCATAAGTTATCATATCTTGGAATTCGGGGCATAGCATGGGATTTTTTTAAAATAGTTATTTGAATGATAGATGTCTATTTACTCTTTAAAACAATTTTCAATCTCCATATTCGATGTCCAGTGTGGAGTACCTCAAGGCTCTATATTGGGCCCTCTCTTATTCATTATGTATGTTAATGACATATGTAATGCATCATACTTTTTCCATTTTGTACTTTTTGCAGATGACACCAATGTTATTTTCTCACATAGTAACTTCAATGAACTATTGTATGAAACTAATGCATGCTGTTAATAAGCAAATAACTACCGTTGGTGAAGGTGATGGGACAAACTATCACTTCCGAGGCGATCTGGATGTAGCTATCTTTCCGAAGCGAAGCTGAGGAAAGATAGCGTATACATTCTGATCGACGAGGAAGTGATAGTTTTGCCATCGCTTGAAACCAAAAGGTGATTATTTGATTTATATTCCACATGTAAAACAATTTAACTACAAAAAGAAAAGGACGTGTATGCATCTACATAAAAGACACCAGGCCCAAATTCACACCAAAAAAAGTTAAAAGTTTAATCCAACCCCTTGAGGGACGGTGCGCGCATGTGTTTGCTTTAATTGCGCTCATTGGTAATGCGCGCTTAATTGCGCCTGTTTTAGTGCGCTTTTGGATAATCTTCAGTGAAAGTGCGTTGCCCTTTGTAGATAGTACCTCTATCTTCAGTGAAAGTGCACTGTGTAGATAGTAGTACTATCTACACAGTGTAACGAACTTGTTGCTTCTCCCATCAATAATGGGCGAACTATCTTTCATCACGTGATTTACTTTTGACCAATCGTAGAACAAGATTCTTAGTATGTGGAATATAAATATAAATATACTCCTAATAATATAATAGATCATGTTCAATACATTTATTAAAAATATTCTATTATATTATTAGGAGCATTTTTTTCTCAATCCAACTATTCCTTTAATAGGCTTCGCACAGGGGTGGGGCGATGCAAATACAATATGCATGATACGCAGGATTTTTTCAAGGGGGGGGGGGGGTTTAACATTTATAAATCGGGCCGAAAATTTCGCAACGACTCAGCCAGCCGCTGAATAAGCGGGGGGGGGGGGGGGGGGGGGGGGGGGGGGGGGGGGGGGGGGGGGGGGGTAAGAGGTCACTTTTTTTTTTTTGGTCTCGAAATTTGAAAATTTGACATTTTGCTCCGTTGGGGGGGGGGGTAAGGTCAGCTTTTTTAGGTCAACCATGGGGGAAAAAAAAAAAAAAAAAAAAACCAAAAGGGGGGGGGGGGTTTTGAGAAATTTTGGGGGGTTTACACACAAAAAATGACCAAAGGGGGGGGTTAACCCCCCAACCCCCCCCCCCCCCCCCCCCCCCTGTGTACGCGCCTGCACAGACACCGACTGCGAGTGTGGAACAACCGTGCAATCTATGTCACACTTATTAAGATAAGATGCCCACTCTTAGTTGACCGATGCTGCCTGTGGCCTGGAAGACCTAGTGGCAGCAAATGAGAAGGCTCTTCAGTGTGCAAAAGGCTGCCAGAACATTTGAGATCAGATGATGGACACGAAAGAAGAATACAAAGTGCATATATCCTTTTCTTGAACATGATATTATTTATTTTTGTTGCTTGATAAATCTTTATAGATATTTATCACAATGATGAAATTTTAGATGGTTACCATTTTTTATTTTATTCTTAAAATTCAGTCCTGAGTTTTGAGTTTTGATCTAACGGGTGGGTGCTACATGCACAACATTACTTATTATAGGCTATGTATAAGCTTGGCTTGTTAGAACTCTTGTGAGTATTGTGCCGCGGAATTCCATATCCTCAAACTGCTGGGCGAACAGAGCAACAAGAATTATTAAGATCTCTTTCCAGTAGTGCCGTGTTTGTGCCATCGAACTGGATCGACCAAATCAATTGGTTCATAATATATTTGTAATATTTTTCCCCGTAACATGAGAGTAATTTTAATCATTTCATTCGTTTATTTAAATGTAATAGTAAGTGTTATTGCATAATTGTGTTAAATGGGGGCATGTTACAAGAGTCCTATCTCGTTCGATCTTTCATGTTTGATTTCAATACATGTCTTACCATTTAACTCAGAATAAAATTTGAATGAAGGAATTATTGAATTTCAAGTGATTTCTTTTCTTCTCTTATCTCGCTCTCTCTATCTTTCTCTCTTCTTTACACGATTAGCACCATATTATTGGGCGCTAGTACATGCAAGTTGATGCATATAATTCTCCAACATAGTTGGCTATCAATTACACAAAAGCTTGCCCGATATATATTAACTGCTGAGGTAAGCAAAGCAGATAACATACATAGAGTGAATGACAACATGAAAAGCATGAATCAAAATGTAAATAATTAATTCATTATTTCTAAAGCTTTGAATCACAACACGAGCATCGATGGTTCACCAGTGATCTATCGATGTCTTCTACCTTCGCACATCCTGCATAATTAATAAAGACAAGATAAAATAAACGAGGAGAAAATCAGTCAAAATTGTTATTTACAGTTTCATATCTCTTGTAAACGTGATGTTTTGGTTTTTTTTCGTAGCTCGATGAATGGCGGATTAGTTGAATTGGAGCCTTTTTGAATACTTTTAGATGAAATCTTTTAAAAATATATCACATTCTCAAGAAACATAATCCGGGACAATTTATCTTTTTCACATACTTGAAAAATTACCAAACTTGGTAAAGATATTAATAATTTAGTTGTTTTATAATTATGTAACGAAAAGGAAATTAAAAATAAACAGCTAAGCCAAAATAAACAGCTAAGCCAAATGGGAAATGACGCAAGGGTGATTGGAGGTGAAAATTTCCAGTATATGTTTTTAAGCCCTCGAAAAAACATACTTTAGGTCACAAGTGTACTGAAAGTGCTATTATGAAACATTTAAAAGACTTCCAGAAGAGGACATAAACTGACCCATTTATTAAAACAAAATATTAATAGTTTGATTCCTTTCTACCTCGGCCCTTTTATATTTTGACCATTAATACAGCCTGAGCCAAAAACTGCCAACCCTATTTAAAGGTAAAATGTCTTTTTTTTTCATTTTTGAAGAAATACAATGTAGTGTAGACATTTATTTTCATCACCAAAGTGATAGCATGGACTTACAGAGTGTCTTGACTAACCTGATAAAGCCATAGCTCTGCTAAACTCATCCTTCAAAATGTCCAGGAGATCTGTGAGCCCTTCTTCACCCTAGGAAATGACAAAATTGATGATAGTTGGTCAACTTATTATGAAATACTTTAGAAACTATTAATATACTCAACATAAAACATATAATGTTGAGTGCATGGCATGGTTAAAGGCAATCAAAATTAAACAAAATGTTAGATCATTATGATTGATGGATAATGCTATATATACTCATGGATTCAGACTTTATTTAAAGAAACTGATTTTCTTCCTAGAATTCCCATCGACGAACCTCTTTAGCATCTCGTATAGTCAGAATCCACAGCGCTGCTATGTCAGGAAATTATCGAGGGCAATTTAATCTTTCGGATAGTCCGATCAATCATACTACAACTCGATCCCACCCTCAGATAAATGGAAGATTGGGGCTCGCGTTGCCAGAAAGAAAATGAGCATGATATTGTTTGAATACATGAGCTTAACAAAATATTCATATCATATTGGATTTAAATCAATAAAATTTGAATTGAATTGAATATATTAAATAAAAAGAAGATTTAGATGACCCCCCCCCCCCCCCCCCTCTAACGCCCCTCTGATTTATCCTACATACCCCGCACGCTATGCCATAGATAGCGGGCCGACCGATGAATGCTGCCCGAGCGCCCAGGGCGAGTGCTTTGATGATGTCCGTACCAGTCCGTACACCTCCATCTACATAGACCTCGATATTGGTGTCTCGTACTGCTTCTACTACCTCGGGGAGTGCATCCAACTGAAAGAAAAATAATAAATAAAAATGCAAATAGACAAAGAAACAAACCAAACAAGTAAACGAATTAATTGATTGATAAGTAAATGTATAAATCAATCAATAAATAAGTGAATATGTAAATGAATAAATAAATAAAGAATGTAAAATAAATGAAAAGATGAATAGATAAAGAAATAGATAAATAAATAAATAAATCGTAAATAACCTGGGGGGTGTTTCATCAACTAAAATCGATTTCGATTTTAAAAATCAATTTTAAGGCCGAATCAGTTTTAGCTTAAAACCGATACGTGTGAGCTGTTTCATCAAATCGATTTTAAGCTAAAATAGATTTTTAGGTGTCTGCAATCAAGGCTAGTCAATTTGGGGTAAATCGATCACAAAATTGCTTGCTAAACTACTGCCAGAGAGTCCTTGAAAAAGTAAGTAAATTCCGTTTTTCTTTCAAAATATTAATTCTGTTGATAAAAAATCTTTTATTTTGGAAGAAGAAAAGTGTTCCTGTCACTTTTATAGAATTACATTCGTGTATAACTGAACAAAACTTTAGATAATATCAATTGATGTCACCCCCAACTGGGCTAAAAAGTGGGCGAATTGCACTGGTTCAATCATTTCAGTCCCATTCATATAAATTCATGCAGGTTCAATAGGAATTTTCTACCGACGGTTAGGGCAGGTACACACTCATTAATCTAGTTTATTCTTGCAGTAGTCTTGGGGTTATATACAATATACTAGGCCTATTAGTTGATCTGGGCCTCTATTCTAGGGCCTAGATCTAGGCCTAGATCTAGGCCTAGATCTAGATCTATCTATTTATTTAGCGGCCCTGTCTTGTTTTTGTTGATCTAATAAAATCAAAAATCAACAGGATCATTGTTTTGATGTTAATATTTTATGAAGAAGAAGATTAGTCTGGACTCTAGAGAGTAGATGGTCTAGAGTGTTGCTGTTAGACCCAAGTTACATTTAGATCTAGTCTAGATGTAGACCTCTAGACTCTAGATTTAGTCTAGATCTAGGTCTAGATCTAAGTTCTCGGCCTAGATCTAGATAGATCTACTTGATAATGATACTTGATACTAGATCTAGGGAAGATGTAGACCTAGCCTCTCTAACGTACTACTAGGTCTAGATCTAAGGCTCTAGCATACTTCAGTCTGCAGCTCTCTTCTGCTGGACTAGTCCTACTCCTAGATGTGGACCTAGAATCTAGTCTAGACTAGAGCCGAGGTCTACTGGGAGTTACTCAGTTGGGTCTAGATCTAGTCTAGATCTATAGACTCTACCTAGCACTACAGTAACAAGTTGGATTGTAGACTAGTCTAGTAGGCCTAGGTCCAGGCATATTAATATTAAAATTAGGTCTAGATCTATTACTCAGTAGACTATTAGTATTAGGGTCACTAAGCCTTAGGCTCCCTATATTAATTTTTTATTCTTTCTTAATTTAATTTTCTTTTAAGAGTCAGACTCAAAGATGGAGTGGACCTCAAGACTCAAAAGTTCTCTTCTGCCGTGTCTCTACTCTCTACAGTCTTGGACTTCTCATTCTAGACCCTACTACGAATTTCTACCTCGGCCTCTGGCTCAATAAGGAAAGGGTTTGGATATGCAGAATGTACTCAAACTCAATGTATAGGTGTACAGCTATAGACTCTAGACTAGATCCTACTGTGCTAAGCGGCCCTGTGAAGTGATCTTTTTACTAGTAAAAATTGCACACCAATATTTAAACAAGTGAAAGGTAAGTTTTTTGTGTGTGGTTCTTCTAGACCTAGACCCTACATATAAATAAATTAATAACTTGTTGTTGAGGGTGTAATCTTGATTTTCATTACATTTTCTACGTACAATCACAAACTGATAAATCCATGTAAGGAGAAGTCAACCATGGCATGTCTAAATCAAAGATAAATGACTACGTCAGCCAGACTGATAAATATTGTACAAATAATAGGGCAGCAATTAATGTATAAAAATGTGATTGAACAAATTGTTATGAGCATATATGTATGATGTAGACCTATAAAGCTGTTTGTTATTTACCAGCTGAGGTATATCTTTCCCTTTTACTCACGACAGGGGAATGTTCATTGATTCTGTGTACAACATTGTTTGGTTCAAGAGTAGGGTAACCGAGATCAAGATTAGACTCCATAGTCAATCTTGCAAATGTCTAAAACTTTCAATGTGGTTGGTAACAATGTGTGGGACCAAATTCATGTAAATTGCTATTGTAATTACTGATAAAAATGTACTGATGTTCTGTTGAACACATTAGATACAATGACAAATATTTTTCTGGAAAATAGATGTGCTCTCTTCATCACAATTATGTATCTCTGTTTTAAATCTTAGGTTGCAAAATAAAGAGCTATGGCATCTTCATGTACTGCTAGTTCATGACATATGGACTTTTATTGTCCATCTCTTCAAATTGAAAAGGTAAGCAGTATCAATTACCATGATTGGTCTTATCAGCATGTTCTGTGCCTGCCATTGTTGTCATACCTCTACAGCAGTCATTAAAAATGAAAAGACATTAGTCAGTACATTTTTCATAATCCTTGTAAGAAGTCTAAAACCCATCTTAACCATTCTGTTGTATAAAAAGTACACAAATGGTTATGAAAGGATTTTTCTTCTCCAAAGCAAACAATCATTTATCTTCTATAACTAAAACTACTTTTGTCTCAAATTTTTTAAAGAATATTTGTATTCTTCTTCTTTATTTATTTAGCAATTAAAGTATTTGAAATAAGCATGAATACAAAAGTTGAAGATGGGTTGAAAAATTGCACAATTATTTACTAATTGATTCATTTTTTTCCATAACTTTAAATTCTGATTCTAGACTGCAGAGCCTGAATTACCTGCAACGTTATGCTTCCTATGAAACATCAGCCAGCCCACAGATAGAAGCTCCCTTTTCCAGCTTTAAGCAAGAGAGACCACAATGAGACACAGATCTTGATATCATGGACTGGTCACTTTTACAACCAACACTATTTGTAAAATAAGATTTACAAATTAATTCCTAAGCTATTTCAAAGCTGATAGAAAAGAATTGATGATTAATTTCATATAGACAAACTATTGTATCAAGAAAATCACATTCTCACCGACTGCGTGACCTAGCTAGATGACAATGTATATCATCCATAGCTTAACAAACATACGAGTAACAGAAATATTTGTGACAAGTATTACTCTTTTAATCTCCTTAAAAGTAACTCGAATAGAGAGTGGCAGATATCAGCTGCAGTAGTTTTAACAACTGGCTGATACTTTCATTGTAGCACTTTCATTTATGTCTTTTAAAATGTTCTTATTGTATCCCTTGAATGTATTTGCTATGCTCATCATTTACAACACGTAGATTTCATTCATTAAAGCATAAGCATATTGATTAGACATTAAAATCTGTGTTAATTTTATTTTGTATGTATTTTTTGTCTTTTAAGAAGATAAAAGGGGGGGGGGGTGAATAGATGACATTGTACGCTAGCGCATGGTGATAATTATTACATGATGATAAAGGGCAATGATGTTATTCAATAATGGTGTGTTTGTTTGCTGGTGAGTATTCAAATATCCCTGTAATGATCTTGTTATAAGTTAGTGTTTATTTATTCATTTTTGTTCTTTTTTTTATTTTTGTGTGGGAAAGGGGGGGGGGGGGTGTTTATATGAAGAAACAAAATTACTTTGAAAGGGGCGGCAAGCTAAGCGTTGTGATGGGAGTGTCATTTTATTTTAATGAAAGAGAGAGAGAGAGAGAGAAAATGAACGGAATAAGGACACATAATTTTAAGCACATATGGTTAAACAAATATAGAAAAGGGGGCACATAACAAAATGGAAAGGGGCACTTCTAAGAAGAAAACATAAGAAGTTATTAGAAATAACATGAGGAAATTTAAAACAAAGAGAAACGGGACAAACTACATAAAGGAAAAGTGCACTTTTAATAAACAAAAAGGGTTGTTAATCAGATGTAAAAGGGGCACTTTAACCCTATCTAGCATGGGTTATTTTGAAACTGCATAGCCTGGGGGCACTTCTAAGCAGTGACAGATGTAGGGAGCCTGGGCCCCCTCCCCTGGGAAAAATAATGTGTAACGTTAACTCTACCTTCTTTTTGGAGATGGGCCCCCTCCCCTGGCGTTCAAGGGGGGTGGGGGTGTGCGATTGTTAACATTTTTCGAGGGGCCCCCCAAAAAACAGTGCTCACCCAACCCCCCCCCCCCCCCCAATGAGCGAATTATCGGCCGGCTGTTTCGCTGCTAAATATCGTCTCACGAATTGGGCGTCCTCCCGTGCCGCCGGCTGGATAAGGCCCCCCCCCCCTCCCAGGCTAGATTGGGTTAAGTAGAAAACGGGCCGCCCATGTATTTTTGAAGAAAAAATGGGCCATTGTGCTCCCCCCCCCCCCCACCAGAGTGCCAAATTTGGTATTGATCATGCCTTACTATGATGATTTAAAAAAAATTGGTTATGAACAAAGATTTGTTCCCCCCCCCCCCCCAAAAAAAAAAAATGCCATTCATTTTTAACAGGATTCTTCATTTTCAGATGTATGAAGCTAGCCGACACTTACGCCTTTAAAACCAATGAATGCTGAACATAGCATATCAATAATGCAAAGACTAAGGATAAAATTGATTTAAAATTGATATGGATCACACTCTAAGTTAAAATCGATTTTAAGGCCAAAATCGATTTTATTTATTTAGTGAAACTGCTGCTAAATCGAAATCAATTTTAGGCCCTTAAAATCGATCAAATCGATTTTAGATCGATTTTAGGGCTTTAGTGAAACACCCCCCTGGTGAAAGTGAATATCAAAGCAACAGAGGACAGTGGTAGTGGACAGAATTAAGCAGCTGGTATGAGGCAATACAGTTTCAAAAAGTAACGTTTGTCGACAGGAGCAAATATACATGTATTCATAGGTGTTAATTTAACACCCCGAAATCTCTCACAAGCAAACACATATCAATTTCTGGAGAATTTGGGGGTCTACAATTTTAAAAGCGCACTAAAGCACATTATTGAGGCACATTTGGAGTAAACATTAGGTACTGGTATCCCACTTACGAAAAGCATTATGTATAGTGCATATGGAAAAGTTCCTCTATAATTTGCAATTAATATTAAAGGGGGCTCGTGCGACCCAAGACCTTTTTAGAATTTTTCTTTACCGGTTCAGTTTGATAAATGGAATTTAATTAATTTATAGGTATTTGAGTTTACCGGTGCAATGGCTGTGTCGAGTTGTCGTCCGCCATGTGCTGATACCATGATACCATCTACACCAGCCCCGACAGCCTCCCGAGCCATCTCACCTGGTATATGGTATAAGAGCGAGAGGGAGAAAATGATAGAGATAGAAAATGAAAGAGAGAGAGAGAGAGAAAGAGAAAGATAGAGAAAGAGAGAAAGAGAGAGAGAGGGGGAGGGAGAGGGGGAGGTACGGGAATGGAGTAGAAGAAAGAGGATATAAATTAAAAAATTATACCATCAAATCACAATCAAACCCTTGGTCATCTAGTTGATATACCATCAACATAACTTCTATGTCATCCAGTAGATATCCCATCACAACCACCGCTTCGTTATCAACTTAAAAACATATACCATCAAAATCACACTTTCGTCTCCCAGTAGATACACTATCAAAGTTACTTTTCGTCAACCAGTAGCTATACTGTACCCTCAAAGTCACTTCTTCGTCATCCAGTAGATGGGTAATCAAAATTACCGCTTCGTCATCCAGTAGATACACCATCGATTGAAAGTCAATTCTTCATCATCCAGTAGTAATATTATGCCACCAAAATTACATCTTCGTCATCTAGTAGATATACCATCAAAATCACACTTTCGCCTCCAGTAGATGTATAATCAAAATTGCATCTTCGTCATCCGGTAGATATAACATCAAAATAACTGTTTCGTCATCCAATAGATACACCATCAAAAGCACATCTTGTTTATCCGGTAGATATCTCATCAAAATCACCGCTTCGCCCTCCAATTGATACACCATCAAAGTCAATTCTTCGTCATTCAGTAGTGATAGCATACCGTCAAAATTATATCTTCGTCATCTAGTAGATATACCATCAACATCACACTTTTGTCTCCCAGTAGATACACCATTAAAGTTACTTTTTCGTCACCCAGTAGTTATACTGCACCATCAAAGTCACTTCTTCGTCATCCAGTAGATACACCATCAAAGTCACATCTTCGTCATCTAATAGATACACCATCAAAGTCACTTCTTCGTCATCCAGTAGATATACCATCAAAGTCACATCTTCGTCATCTAATAGATATACCATCAAAATCACACTATTGTCTCCCAGTAGATACACCATCTAAGTTACTTTTTCGTCAACCAGTAGTTATACTGTCCCCTCAAAGTCACTTCTTGGTCATCCAGTAGATGTGTAATCAAAATTACCTCTTCGTCGTTCGGTAGATATAACGTCAATTCTTCGTCATCCAGTAGTAATACCATTAAAATCACATCTTCGTCATCTACTAGATATACCATCAAAATCACACTTTCGTCTCCAGTAGATGTATAATCAAAATTACATCTTTGTCGTTCGGTAGATATAACATAAAAATTACTTTTTCATCCTCCAGTAGATATGCTATCACAACCACCGCTTCGTCATCCAGTTGATACGCCATCAAAGTCACTTCTTCGTCATCCAGTAGTGATATCGATATCACACTTTCGTCTCCCAGTAGATACACCATCAAAGTTACTTTTTCGTCAACCAGTAATCAAAATTACTTCTTCGTCGTTCTGTAAATATAACATCAAATCACTTTTTTATCATCTTGTAGATATAATATCAAAGTCACTTCTTCGTCATCCAGTAGATATATCATCAAAATCACACTTTCGTCTCCCAGTAGATACACCATCAAAATTACTTTTTCGTCAACCAGTAGTTATACTGTACCCTCAAAGTCACTTCTTCGTCATCCAGTAGATGGGTAATCAAAATTACCGCTTCGTCATCAAGTTGAGACACCATTAATTGAAAGTCAATTCGTCGTCATCCAGTAGTAATATTATACCATCAAAATCACATCTTTGTCATCTAATAGATATACCATCAAAATCACACTTTCGTCTTCAGTAGATGTACCATCAAAATTACATCTTCGTCTTTCGGTAGATATAACATCAAAATAACTGTTTCGTCATCTAGTAGATACACCATCAAAGTCACTTCTTCGTCATCCAGTAGATATACCACCAAAAACACATCTTCGTCATCTATTAGATATACCATACAAATCACTTCAACCATGTACTATTTTCATCCAGTCATGACATTTGGACGCGTCAATTTGTAATGTATTAAGCTGCAGAGCGAATTACGCGTCTCCAATTTTTCTTTAGAAATTGTCCGCAAGATTTATGCATGACGTAACATGTATAGATTCTGACCTCGTAAAATTACTCTAAGTCAATCCTCTTCGGACTCACATACAACCTCTTCGACTTGAACTCCATTGGCTGCCTGTACGACAGAGAATAGCTTTTAAGATCCTACTACTGGTCGAGTCCGAAATACCCGCTCATCATCATCCATCTGGCTCACTCAGTGTAGAAACGTGCTGGTGAATTGTCTTTTCCATCGGTTGCTACAAAACTGTAGAACCAGCTATCTACTGCTGTGCAGACGGCCTCGTCTGTTGACCACTTCAAGAAACTACTCAAGTCACATCTATTCTGCTAGAAATTACTTAATTACCAGCCTACATATACTTTACTGATCCCTGAGAAGTGTCTAACTTTTGTTTTTAAGTGGCCCAAACATGGTGGGGCGTGTGTGTAGCGCTTTGTAACTGCAAGGAAAGGGCGCTATATCAAATATCTTTTGGATTGGATAGTCCCCTCCAAAAATCTCGTTCTAGAAGGAATGACATACCTGTTAATATCCCTTTGACGACGATGGGGATGGAGGATATTTCTTGAGCCATCTGATGTTGTCCCAAGTAGCTGCATCATCGCTGGTATCATTGTAGCACCAGAGGAGCGTGTCCCCGGCAGCTCTGGCTTGATCGGCACCTTCCTTCATCATCTCCATGTTAACACATCTACAGTCACAGGAGGAAAAATATATACATTATACATTCTTGTTTATAGAACACGATTGCACCTATTTTTTCTAATTTTGTTCACGCATGCCAGATTTTGTTTATTGAGAAAGAATAGTTTCAGTTTCAGTTTCAGTTTTATTTTCATTTCCAACAGAACAGTAATTTTGACAAGAAATCAGATATACCGTCATTGTTGGTCAAACAGTTTTTGAGCGTCAAGTAACGCCTGGCTGGAATGCTCCCCAGGAAGTGGAGATTGTGCACACAGTGTGTGCGTGCAAGCACTGAATCCAACGACCGGGGTAATAATATATTTGTAAAGCGCTTAGAGACATTTGTGATAAGCGCTATATAAAAGCTAAATATTATTATTATATTATTATACAATTCAACATTCAATATTATAATACATTTTACAAGGTTTAAAGTTGAGAAACATGAAATTATGGAATAGAATGCAATGGGGGAGGGTAGATTATGATCCTTTTGTCACACTTAAAGACGAACGGCCTGTCAGCAACAGACTCAGCGATACCGGGAGGAGATCGATGATGATGATGATGATGATGACGACGCTGATGATGACGACGCTGATGATGACGACGCTGATGATGATTATTATGATGATTATGAACATGACCGTCATAGTGGAGTTGGTGGTGATGATCGTGATAATGATTATGAATTTAGATAATGAATATTGGTAACAATGATAACGTTAAATAAAATGTGTACAACTTGAATATTATACAATCGGTGTGTCGGTTACCCTTACTTTAGTGGATGATAAGCAGGATTTTTTCGCACTGCTTCATACAGATCAAATTCCTTTTCGTTTCTGCGATACCCGTAGGTAGCGAAGTCGACGGTTACTAACAAAGCTGTGGAATACGGAAAAAGAATAGGGATATCAAAACGAGTGGCACAGATTTCCTCCCTTCCATAGGGTTCTCTATTTTACAAAGCAAACTAGACAAATGTGAACATTTGCATCGCCAAATAACATCGCGTAATTTAACGAGTAAACTATGGCTTAATAATATAATCGTCACGGCCCATACTTTAGGGCAGAGAAACACAAAACTGATAATTTTGACATTTCGATAAATGCGGTGTAAGCAATAAACAGTTAAAACTTTCTTTCACTATTTCTTTTCTTTGAGATTCGTTTGCATGTATGTACTTAGGCTTGAAGGTCGTATATATTATTGTTACTTTCCTTCCCCCCCCCCCCCTTTTTTTCATTTGGGGGAGGGGGGAGTGTTGAAAGTGGAAATGGGCATCTCGATCTGTACCCATGTCTCCACCTCAAATTCACGACGATATGAATTATACCACCTCTAAATTACATAACGTTCCCTTAACTCGTTACCTACGGGAACCGGGTGGTCCTTGTATTGAGCCTATGGGAATTAGATAGTTCAGTAGTCAAGGGTTAATTGCATATTATTCTGGAGTTGTGTCCCCCTCCTTCCTTTAAAATGTATTATTTATCATTATTTATTTTAATACATTTGTCCCTTGCTAAAGTGGTCCCCATGTTTTATTTAGTACTCAAAACATATTTACAATGGTTATTGCTATGCAAAGTACAGGTTTATGAATTAAATGGAGACAATTCAAGCTTTCGAAATGTTGCCTATAGTTTTTCCATATTTGGCAACAATAACAGATGAAAAGTGCTACCTAACTCCTTCAGTTTTAAACTCAGATAATTTTCTAAACTTATCTTAAAAGGGTTACACTTGACTTTTACTTACCTTTGAAGCCAGCTTTCTCGGCCCGCCTCAAGAAAAGTTCTGTGATTTTCGGATTCTTGTAGATGTATGTCTGCATCATCCGCAGTCCTCCCGGGGCAGAGTCGGCTATGTCTTCGATCATAACGTTTGCTCCACAGCTTAAAGACATGAACACACCAGTGGCTGCAGCAGCTACATATTTTTAAAAAAATTAAAAAACACGCGCGCAAATATCAAAATATCATTGGTGAAAAAAAAATATTACCGGTAACTTGTTTTTTTGTCTCATTGACTTTTACGGAAATGATAGGAGTTCATCATATTTTACCTAGTACTGACAGGAGAGTGGACTTCAGAAAAAAAATATCATTATGCTTTTAGTGGGAGGTTCTTGTCTATTTTTTTCATCACGAAATAATTCGAGCTGATGGTGAAATTTTTGACAGCGTATAACCTCTACAACCTAGCAATGCTGTAATTATATAGTCATTATATTGCAGGGCCCGCAAAAAGAAACAGTGTTAATACCAATGTGACTACCCTGGTACACTCAAGCGTCCCTATTTTCACGAAGTGACGGTAGTGAGGAAAATCGTAACGCAAAGTGAATGCAATTTTTTTTCACTACCGTCACTTCGTGAAAACAGCGACATATCCTATTCATTACCTCTCGCCGTAGCGATTTCTCCATCTGGATGCGCTCCCTTGTGGAAGGCGGTGGGTGAGATGCCGCAAGGGAAGGAGACCCTGTGACCTAAGATGGTGGTCGAAAGGTCTCTCTTGGAGACGTCACGTAAGACCTTTGGCCTCAGACGGTACCTACAATGGCACGGTGGAGGAATGAGAGAAGCTAATGTTGGTGGTTCGACTTGGTGGCGTAGCTCCAGAGGTGGGGGGCACGGGGAACATGCCCCCAATTGAGTGGCGACAATAAAGACATATAGAGACTAAGAGTACGGTGGGAAGGTCAAGGAATTTGAGAACGAATGTAAGTGGTTTAACCAGGGGCGGATCCAGCCGGCCACAATGGGGAGGGGGGGGGGGGGTGGCCGAATCTTGAGATTTTTTTTTAGTGCCGACTCAGCCGGCCGGTAAATAAGCGGTAGGGGGGGGGGGGGTGAGAGCACTTTTTTATGGGGGGGGGTCCAATTCGTGACAAAATATTTAGCAGCGATTCATCCAGCCGATGAATACGCGAGGGGGGGGGGGGTATTACGGGGTGCCCGCTTTTGTTTTTTGTTTAAAAAAAGGTTAAATATACGTTATTATCCTACTTTTTTAATCGTTTTCTGGGCAAGGGGGGGGGGGGACGGGCCGGAAAAATCTGTATGTGAATCCACGCCTGGGTTTAAAACGATGGCGTACAGGCTACGGAGGAGGAGAGGGGGTACGTGCCTCCAATTGAGTGGCCAAAAAATGAAGATAAGACATAAAAATGAAGACATGAAATATATTTTAAAAAAAGAAACTGAAGACAAAAATTGAGTGAACGAAAGAGTGGGAAGATTAAGGAATAAGAGAAACGAATGATAGTGGTTCGACACGATGCCGTATTAGTTACGGAGAGGGGACACGTAGGCCTACGCCCCCCCCCCCAGTTTCTAAGCTATAATGTTACTCTGCATTGAACGAATATACTGGGCCTTTTGTACAAAGTTGATAAATCAATGCAGAAGTTTCCAAAGCATCATACAGTCAGTCACGAATTGGCTGTTAATAATTATAATAATAGTGGGTTCTTGAATAGCGCACATGTCTGTCAGACTTGATATTCCTGGCGCTCCACAATATCATTATCTTCGGCTTTAGAATGGCTGCTATAGTGATGTGGCAGGGATTTGAATCCCGTACTTTACATTGAGCTTAGAATAATTATATCCACCAAACCACAAATGCACAATACACAATAAGCCATAATTATATTCATGCATGCAGCTCTATACGTGGATGATGATACAGAATACAGCTTTTATCACTGTACCTATCACCATGACTTGGCGGCACGTTATCAAAAAGACAATTTGCTTAACATGTTTACGCTATCCGTCTATTAGCACCACTCCAAGTCTTCTCTCTTTTTACAATATTTGCAGACTGTCCATCCAAAGTATCCTTCTTCTTCCCCTACTCCTCCTTCCCACAATTTTCCTTGTCAAAGCAAGATTCTCTAGCTGCCTTTACGTGTAATGTGACCCATGAACTTCAACTGCCTGATCAACATCTCATGTATCATTTCCTTTGCACTCCAGCTCTTCTAAGAACTTCCTCATTACTAGACCGATATACATGACTGTTTAAAAGCTAACCTAACCTTAACCATACATCCATGATCCTCATATTTTGTAACCCTCCCCTTTATACCCCAAAGTTTGACAAAATGAACCCCGACGGAGCAAACGTGAGAGCACCAGGTCCCACCATATTACCCATGCACCCACCTACCTCAAATATGCAGCGTGACTGTCTCGGAGAGTGACCTCCTCATCCGCCCCGCCCCGGTAGAAATTCCACATCATTGGGTCGAGGCATTCCTTTGCTTCTTTCTCAAAGTCGTCCAAACAAATCCTCTTGTTGGAGGCCATGATTTCCAGCTTGCTGTTGTTTCCCTGGTTGTAAGCGCACACGATAATGGTTGTCCGGATCACCATTCAGCTATGCCCTTTGGCCTTTACTTTGGAACATTTTTGCAGTTATCCATCGCTCAGCAGACTGTTTCTGCTGTTGTGTGTGGTATACAGATCTATAGATTTAGCCGTCGCTGTATAAAGTCCATCGTTTTTCAACCTTTTTTAAAGTCGCGGCGGCACCCCTGTTGAAAAATAATAAGTTTCGCATCAAACAGTTTATCTTTTCAAAATGAGCAAATTATTGTTCATTATATAGCATAAAAGTGGAAAAAAAAATCAAATTTCACGTCTCTGAGGCATTATTTTCATTTTGAAAAAAAATCAGAATGAATTCACTATACCCTTTTTTCAATTGATCAAATCATTTCATTCCCGCTTCCAAATTCATAACAGAGGATTCATTTTCCATCACTGTGGTCGATCCACGTCAAGTGTCATGTACACACGTACGGGCACATTTTGTATCCAAAAAAAGGAGAAAACGTTTTTAGTGTGGTAAAAATGCTATTTTATAAACAAAACATATTATATAGATAAGATAATGATATTATGTATGCGGGCACCTCGCAGTCTATTACATGAATAAAAGAGTTATATATTCGGTCGCCTTGATGCACTAAGGAAGTTCGGGTATCTCGTTGTCCAGAATCATCCTGTTTTTTAATGATCTGAGAGAGTAAAGCGGACGAGCGTGGTAAAAATGCAATTTCCATTACAAAACATGAAAGATAATGTATTCGAGCATTTTCCTACCCGAATGTGACGATAATCGGGCACCTCATTGACTAATTATGTGGGTATTCAGGCACTTTACTGCCTCAAATGGAGTGTAGCTTGGCAAATACTGGTTAATGTCTGCTTTTGGACAACTGCACGTAAACAAATGAACTTGATTAACGGTAGACAGCGACTTAATCTCTACATGGTCAACGTTCGCGAAACAGCCGAAGTTCTCCTCAAGCTTCGGTTTTGCGTGTGTTGCACGCACGTGATTGCTGCGGTCGCGTCGTCCGATTGACCCCTAAGTCAGGCCACGGAAAAGACACGTAGTTTCGTCAGGCTACACTCCCTTTAAATTAAACTGTTTCTAAATGTTTCTGAATAATGGTGTCTCGCGTCTTCCCAGTAACTGGTTGGATAGGGGTAATATTGTATCATCCAGGACTGATTACCGAAGGCAGGGGGAATGGGGTACGAATCAGAAAATTATGCTATAAAATTACCCCTTCCTAAATATAAATAAAATAAAACAGAGCAAAAATTCTGGTTACGTTCAGGAGCGTTTTTAGTCCAAATTATTCTCTGACAAGAGAAGCTTATAATGCGCGGTCGAAGTCCAGAAAACTGCCCCGGTATATATATATATATATATATATATATATATATATATATAGACCTTGATATAGACGCTTCCTATGTAATGTGTTTGTATGTCAGATAAAAATTCTAATCATTTAAAGCGGGACTGCACTACTTGTAGCTACTTGCGCCCTCTATATAGCCAACAGTGCCTTTTTCGTGCTGATTTGATGAGATCATGGACATATTACGTCCATGATGAGATATAACCACCTGCCAGTGACCACACAGAGGGGTCTAATCCCAAACTATTGCAGATAGGCTTTAAACCCAGTGGCGGATACGGGGGGGGGGGGGCGGGCCTGTCCCCTGGAGAAAAAAAACGTGTAAAAAAACGTCAATTTTATCTTTTTTTGGAGATGGCCCCCCCCCCCTGGCGATTTTTCAAAATTTTCGAAGGCCCCCCCCCAAAAAAAAAGTGCTCACTACCCCCCCCCCCCCCCCCAACTGAGTGAATTATCGGTCGGCACAATTTTCTAATTTCAGCACACTGAATTTCAAATTGATTTCAAATTTGCCCCCCTCCCCCTCCTAAGAAATCCTGGATCCGCGCCCGTTTAAACCTATGGTGGATCCATATTAAGGGGGTGGGCACCGTGTGCCGTAATATCGTCACTGATTTCACGAACCGGCACGCGAAGCCTCACAGCGCGAAAACACGTTTCCGAGATAATCGTGTTTAAAGACAGCGGCCAGTTTAAAATGCTCATTTGAATACCGTACTTTCATTTAATCAACATGGAATTACATGTGTGATAAGAGTTGAATTTTTTCTTTCATATGCACTCAATATTACAGCAAGAAACGAAATACTTTTGGTATCATTGGGTATCATTCATGGTCAAATACGTATGCCGGTTCGTAAAATTACTCGTATGCGCATTTTGCATAGAGCGCGTAGTTAAGAAAAATTTTACGAACCGGCACGCGTTGATCCTGTGCCGGTTCGTAAAACTTGCGCCTTGTGTAGCTGCGCGCACTGATGAGTTTTACGAACCGGCATATGAGTTTGATGGTGCATTAAAATGACATTCTCAATACGAATTGTCACGAGGATAATTCAATCTTTTTCCTATACCGCATCACACGTTTAGCATAATCTTTGATATCTCACTTGAACCTGTATTTATATTTTGTTTACTTTTTTTTTTCTCTTGATTTTTTCATTTGTTTCCAATATTCTACCCCTTCTCTCTCTCTCTATTTCGCATTAAGTATCCCGTATTTTCCTCTTTAAAAGAAAATTATATCTGAGTGGTTCTCTTCTGAATTCTATCATGTTGGCCTACTAGTCATATAAACGATTAACGTTTGTAACATATACTATATGATTCGTAGATTTACGTTACCATAGTATCAGGACAATTTCCCCCTGGACAATCACCCCCTGAAAATTACCTCTCCGGGAAACTACCCTCCCCCCCCCCCCCCGACATACATGAAAAATCACCCTCTATTATTAGGACAATTACCCCAGTTCATTAAAGGGGAAGTCGACCCTGATAATAAGTTGGTTTTTTAATAAAACCAGATTTGTTTTCTCTCGGGGGTTAATCGTCCTGTGTGGGGGGGGGGGGTATTGTCCAAGAGGAGTAATTTTCAGGGAGGGGTGTTGTTTGATGTTATACCTTCATGGTTTATCAAGTAATTTCCCCAACTCTTATCACAAAATGTCCACATCTTGGGCAGATACTCAATACTGCAATCCCTCTCTCTTCACACATGCTCTCTCTTCATTCCAATCTCTCTCTATCTTATATAACCTTTTACATATTCCTATCTCAGTCATATCCCTCTTTACCTCAAGGAAAGTAGAATTTAAATTCAGAGAGGTACATTGTATCTAATTTACATATTATCATATTATTTTCAAGGTACCATAATGTGGGGCACGGTGTAGTTATATATTTTCCTGTTACAGTAAAGAGAAAATTCGCTCTTTGAAATTCATGGTTTTAATTGATAATATACATATAATCCTCATTTTGAGCAAAGAAATGATTAATTGTTTGTACAACAATTAAATGTAACCATTATAAAATGCTGCATAGTTGTTACAAAACACGATTGTAGCAAAACTACAAGAGGCATGCTAACAATCTACAAATCGGCGTAAAATTAAGCACAATATATTTGCACAATACAATAATATGTTCATCCTATTACATGTATTTCAATTTTTATTACAATTTATACTAAATGCATACGTGTGCACATCTGGGGGTGTCAAAAATGTCCATGGATTTGCATTAATATAAAGACATTTTATTTACTCAATTATAACATTTGATGGAATTATGAAGCCAAAATGAGGTTCATGGACAAGTTGAAAACATTGGCAAATTTCAACAAGTTTCTTAATTAGTACAAATACGCCACAGAAAAGATGATTCTTGAAGACTTAGAAATGATGCATACAAATAGTACACATTACCCATATTCTTTAAATGTTGCAATGAATATGAATATTGTAATTTTGAGATGCAGCTAACATCTACTTACTCCATATGACAGCTCATATATTTTTCATGCATAATTGACTACATTTCTTGCAGTATATGCACAAGGAATCTGCAGCATAATACTATTTTTAGAACAGGAAATAACTTTTTCAGATAACACAAGCAAAGCGTACTTTCACATGAAATCTACTCTCAATTTAATTTATCTATAACTAAGCTAGATTACTCATTACTAAAGAAACAGCATCAACAATGAACTGGATCAGAGAAGGTGATTATCCAGTGCCCTTCCTGATCAGTTTAGAAAGACATATCAGATATATTTTAGAAATTCTTCAGATGATATGCCAAACACTAAAAGCTCAAATGGGAATAGAATATACATTCAGAGTATTTCAGATATAATTAAACCAACTTGTTAATATTAATTACATGAGTTTATTGCTCCCCAATGAAATATTGGTGTAGATCAGTCACTTGAAAGACAATTGATGATTAGAAGTTTGCAAGGCCACTATATACATATTATGTCAACAACGCATTCTTCAACAATACATTTAAATCCCTTTAAAATTTGTCAATGAAAGCCATTTCACAAATGAACACTTCAGCCCCCATCAGAAAAGATCCACCAACATGAGAAGAGTTACTGTATGAAACTGAAAGCATTAAACAATGTAAATCTAACAAAATATATGTCCAACTAATAAAGGTAGTGGCCCTCATTCTAAAGCCTTCCAACTTCTATGTAATTTCCTCAGTAGATGATAAGTCAAATCTTAGAATACACAATCTTCCTTCCTATGATTTTTTCCTTTAGCTCTTCAATTGGCCCCCACCCAGGAAACCTCTTTAAATTATCATGTATTATACAATGTTGTAGCATGATTACTTGTTATTGTATTAAGTTGTTGAATTTAAATGACAATAAACCTATTACATTTCAAGATCCTGGTGGAGGCTTGCAAATGAAGGCTACAAAATAAACACGAAGAAGGTAATGTAATTTTCTGATAAAGTCATACTATATGTTAGGATGTTGTAGCATGAGTACTAGTTAAGTTGTTTTGGAATAACCAAGTGTAAATAACAATGTTATTTTGAACATATCTTTTACTTGTAAACCTTGGACAAATTAAAAGAATTATGTAATATATATATAGATGTATATAATTTGAGTGATTATGATTCAAATTACATGAATACAAATTCCAATATAACAGGTGAAACATCTGCTGTGCTATTACTGACCAACAGGAAGTTTTCTGTGTCAGATTCCACTTTGTGTACTTCATCCTCCAAGTCTGTATCCAACTCCATGGGTTTTGTTTCATTCTGCCTTTGGGATGTCCTCACCAGGTCCGAGAACTTTAACACAGAGAGCAAAAAAGTTTGGGAGCAGTTTAGAAAAGAATATCACATATGCAATATTCCTCATCAGTCT